AGATTGGAATACTCAATATCTTGCAGAAGTGCATTGCATTCATCAAAGAAAGAAATTAGAGGCCTTATCTCGTAATCATGATTTACTATCTCGTAATTAGTAAAAGAAATATATCTCAAAGTTATGAGATCCTGATCTTTAAATTATGAGATCTTTTCTGGTAATTTTGAGATGGTAGATCATCATTATTTCTTTGGTGAATTAGTTGAATTTACAATTCAATTCAACTGATTTTCTAGCAGTGATTTTTTACTATGAAAACCATCTAACCATTCAATCCCTGCCAGACTTAGTTGCTGTTGCTCCGTTGTTTCATGCCATTGCTTTCAAGCCTGTTACCTGTTTTCTGGAGCTCTGTCACCTTTATCTGCCTGACCCTCTGCCTGATTATTGGGACTTTGGATTCCTCCCTGCTCCTTGTTGGATTTGTTTGCCTGTTTTGGACTGCCTGGTGGGCCTGTAAGCCTCAAACCTTATTTAGTAAATAAATCATTGAACTGCATCACTCTGCTTCCTTTGTCTGCATTTGGATCCTTCCCTTGTTGCCAATAGCTAAATCATACATGCACTGATAGACAAACTGCCTCATGCTAATTCAGATCATCATTTGAAAATTACCTCTAAGGTGTCATGAGCATAATAAAGTAATATGTTTTTTACTTTGAGTCCCTGCCCAGCCTGCATACATGTGTTGATGCAGGGCTGGACTGGGACAAAAAATCGGCCCTGGCATTTTTGGCCGAGGCGGGACCCCAAAATCAGCCAGACACCCCTCACCATTGATCCATTAAGGGGTCAGATTAGGGGTGTGATAAAACACTGAGAAGTAACATTTGCCCAAGATTGGTGTCCTACAAGACAAGAATATATTTTAATAGACCTACTATTTGGCAAAAATATTTCTAGATAAAATATTCTATAGGGGGGTCTTGGGGTCCTCCCCCAGAAAATATTTAACATTGAACACTTAATTTCCTGCATTCTGGAGACATTTTCTGCACCAATTTATGGTGGAAATGTCTTTATTTTTATAAAGGGAAGCACAAAATTCAGGTGGCAGGTGACAATTCACAATATAAAATATAATAAAATATAATGCAGTAATCATTATTTTTTGCTTAAGTTACTTTTTTTGGACAATGCAGAGGTTTCTTCTAAATTTACATTGCATTTCAGGTTTTCTTATTGTGCAAATAAACCTTTTTCATAGCATTTCTATTTGTTAATCAACATTTCTTGATGCAAGATATTTTTCAGAACACTTTTCTTTTTTTCAAAACGTGGTGGCTACATGTCCCCAGTGTAAATGAGCCTGCCTCCCTGCAGGTTGAGCTACTCCATGCTTTCCTCTTCACCTCCTCTCTACTGCTCTCTCTCTCTCTCTCTCTCTCTCTCTCGATTACCAGTCCAGACCTGTGCTGATGTGATGGCTGGTGTCAAACAGAACACGCCACTGCGAGGGCTCCATGGAGATGGAAACCCTAAACAATCCACACACACTGGCTGAAGCACACATGTACACACACATTAGATGGCAAATACACATTAACGGTCCATCTAACGCCATTTGAGGCGTGCCATCAACTAAAATAATCCATGTCCTTTTCTGCTCGACCGTGTCACTGATTGTAAGGTGCTTATAATTCAAATCATAGCATAGTCCACTAACTCACCCTCTGAGTCAGCATCCATTTCTGCACAATAAATCAGATGTGTCAGATGACTTCCTCGCCAGCGACTGTGACATATCCTGTAATGGAAACAATGAAATTACTGGAATAAAACCTCCAATCCATGGTTCGCCTGAGCTCCCGCGCACAGAGGGAGTAAAGGTGCCACTTTCTGTTTTGATCAGATATGCTGCTGAAAACCTGGAGTGAGGGGTAGATACAGTCTCACAGCTAGAAGCCACTTGTCTTTGTAATGTTAAACCCACATTCGGCATGCTTGGAGGAGTTAATCATAACTTTCAGCAGTGATGCAACCTGTTATGAGCAGCGAGGCAGAAACTCTTTGGATTACCTTTGGCTACCTCTGTTTAGGAAAGAGGATCTCCCTGTAAGTTTTTCATTTCTTTTTCAGGAATATGAAATGATGTACAGTAATACAAACCTGCTGACATGCTGCTGTAATCTATCTTACTCGACAGACAAGTTGTCTCACAGTTTCCGCGTGTGAGCAAGAAAGACAATGCAGAGAGTTCTTCTGCAAACTGATCCCTGGGATGTTTACAAATCTACTTCTGAATCACGTTCTTAAATTTAGACAAACCCTCTGGAGCTGTTGAAAGCTGCTGCCTCCCCAACCCTCCTTCCCTCTCGTTCCCTTTTTTCACTTGTACTTATTGCCCGTATAACAGCCACTCTCAAATAGCGTCTCACTCAAATTTTTTTTTACCGACATCTGAGGAATCAGTCCCCAAGGCGAATGCATTGGCCCCTATTGCTCCGGCAACATGCAAGTCATGTAAGCATTTTATTTCCAACTCGACTTAAAATGAATATTAAATTGCATACAGGATGATTACAGCCAGCTGCATACACTCAACATTTTACAGCTAAAAGCTACACCTTAATGTGAACCTATGTAACTTTTGTTGGCCCCAGCTGACAATTATAGGATAACAATAGCACAAGTCAGTTAACATCTGTTATCCAACAACATCTTGTTAAAGTTTGCTAACATTTGCCACCATAGACTTGCAGGTCATATCAGACCCATTAGGACTGTAGCAGCCAAATGTACACTGTGCATGTACTGAGCTGAACAGGGTGCGTTTATATTATATATATATCACAAATTCAATGTTTCTTTTGTAAGAGGAATGTGTTATTTCTTTTTCCAAAAGTTACAGTCTCGCTTTAAAGTAAAATATGTGTGAATTAAATGTAACAGTTCTTACACTGCTGAAACATGCTGAAGATCACTGAGGTCAAAATCCCCCCCCCCCCCCCCCCCCACTGATTATTACAATATAATTAAAGTCCCCTTTCACTCAAAACTCTTAATTTCAAGGGTGACATCTCCAGCAAGCAGCTATGGGGGAGAGGTGGAACCTTAAAAAAAACTATTAAACAAATTACAATTATTCAAGGTTAAGGTGATGAACAGCCATCGGCACTAATGGTCAGTGTTGCTGATGAATTAGACTGTGCCTGTACCAGCTCCTGTAATTTGTATCCAAATGCCCGCACACCTGGCACAAAGTCAGTATACAAGCTTGTTTTGTAAAAACGATAAATTTTCATTTCTCTGTTTTTCAGTATCAGCTGCATGTTGGATGTTCAGGAAAGAAAAACTTGCCAAAACTTGAGCAAAAATAATTAATTTCCATATCTTGTGACTCCCTCTTCTCTTGCTTTATTTGAATGTTTCTCTGGGCTACTACATGTGTATGAGTTCAACACTAGAGAACTACTTTCAAAGTCATCTGCTGAAGGGGGACATTCATGTGGTTATCCTGAATCTGAGTTTAAGATGTGTACATACGAACAGGTTTTTTCGACATCACAACTAGTTTGGAAGCCAAATTGTTTAATATGGTGTAGTATGCAACTCACTCAAGTGTGGTGTGGAAAACTGAAACCTCTAGGTAATGCAACCCTGAGAATGGACTTTGCTCACCTCACTAAAGTGAAACATTTGAAATATATTTGCAATATTTTGGATTTTCATAAATTCTGGATTTTTTAATGAGGTAAAAGGAGTAGATCTAATTTGAAGAATTTGTAATTGACACATGTCATTATTCGCCCTGCAATGGATTGGCGACCTGTCCAGGGTGTACCCCGCCTTTCGCCCAGTGTCAACTTGGCTCCAGCCCGATTTAAATGTACTGCTATATTCACAAAAGTGCTATAACATGTGGTTTGAAAACACTTTAAACAAATAAGGTGCTTTTTACCTGCAGTATTCTCTTTACACAGTAGCAATAAATTATTTACTGTAAATCTCAACTTAAACATTAATGTCAAATCCAATATTAAACCATATTTGCCACTGCCAATGCATTCCCATCAAGTTACCATCAGAGTCTATGAAGAATATCAGCAGGTATCTTTTATCATGGAACAGCATAAACAGCACTAGGCTATGTAGGATTGGGACGATGTCTACAAAGCGCGGAGGGGCGGGGGGGGGGGGTGCTGTCGTCTTACGTGCATATGTTCACTCGCACAGACTTCACTCGGTTAAAAACTTGAAAAGACGATACAAGTCGCGGTGGATATTTTACAAGCACGGAGCAGGCAACGTGAAAGCATTTAACACACAGGGTGCAGTTGTTGGTTTCGGTTGTTTGAGTTTGATAGGCTGCGTCATTAACAAGCAAGCGGCTCACCTGCTGCCGTGATGACGGATCGCGGGTGGAAAAATACAGAAGAAAGATGACAGCGTAGTCTGCGAAGCCTCCCTCCACTGCTTGTTTGGGTGGGTGATTTGACTGTATGTGTATTCAGAGCCAGTGAGCAAGGGACTTTCAAAATAATTATAATAAAAAATTTAATAAATGCGTAAACGTGCGATTAAATAGCCTAATTGTCAGCGTTAATTAATGAATGCGTTAACGCGATAATAACGCGTATATACACACACACACGGACAGACATGGATGTCAACGGCAACTTGGCTGGTTGGCAACAAATCGCAGGGCGTTAATTCTAGTTTGTATTCTGAAATCTCCTCAGCAGTGAATTATATTTAATTAGGTAAACCAGTGCTGAAATCTGGTAGATGCCTGATGATTCACTATTATGCAAAAAGATAGGGACTAGATTAGAGCCTGAAAACACATCTGTCAGGTCACAAGCCAGACTGTGATGATTGTAGAAGGTGTGTGTAATGAAGTAGAAGCACTAAGGAGCGAGAATTTTATAATCTGAGTATTAATTTGACTATTGTGAGTTCAGGATTTGTTACAGCTAGTGATGTAGTTGGATGATACACCAAGGAGATACTGGAGCAAAAATTATATATTAGTGCAAGAAGCATACAGGCAAGCGTGTCATGTGGCAGGCATTTTATTTCCTTCTGATCATTGCCTTATCTGATCTCATACATAAATCATGCTTTTCATATGGCAGCACTCTGCCTATACCGTTTATGCAGATATGATAAATAAATGTATTCACAAAATAGAAAATGTGTTGGCAGACAGTTCATTTTATGGCAATACTGCATGGTAATCAATAGTCATTTATGACCAAAGTCTATTTACATTCACATAAAGAAAAGGTGAAATAAATATTTGCATATAAAATAAAGCATATATAATGACACTGTAAGTTGTTAAACTTAATATATTTTGAGTTACCTGATAAACATGCAGCAAATGTGTAAAGTACGTTAAATACACTTATGACACCTGAGAACTCTATTGACTGAACTATAATTCTCACAAGACACAAAATGTTTACTTCCCCCATGTCATTAGAAATAATTTCATACTAGTGTAACGGCAGATTAAGACATTCCCTTTGGCTGAAGTCTGCACATTATCACATAAGGCACTAAAATAGCACCATATGCAGGAAGGCTTATAAAAACAAATATGGCTTCTTCATCAGTTGTACATACAGTATGTACCCTACACACAGTTAGGGCTTAAATAATGTAAGACTAGGTTGGCTGAATTCTTCCTGTCTTTCAATGTTTCTGCAACAACAAAAAATGCTCACAAACTGTATAAAACTGGCTAAAGAGATACGAAAGCATACAGACATATACACAAAAAGTACCCTGATATAGTCACAAAAACAGAAGTCAGAATGCTCTAAGCAGGTGCATATTAGTATGTTTGGACAGACTCTTAAAAACAAATATGGAGAGAAGAATGTGAGGTACAGACGGCAACAGTTTTATGGGCAGCATCTGGACAGAAATCATGCTGTAGGGCCAATGAGCTCAGCAGTTTGAGAGGTGTCTCCAGGGCCCGACCAGTGCATTATATCTCCGGAGTACCTACTGGAATTTTATTGGCCTGAGGTGAAGTCTTTCTTTCCTGAATTCTTTCAAGTTGCTCCAGATAAGATAACCTGTCTGCTCTGTAAAAGCTAAAGGCTAATGGCTCTCTGTGGTCACTGCACGCTACCTGGGAGACATGCAAGAACACAGAGGAATTTGGCTCTTTCTGATGTCTGGCAGGGTAATCTCTACAGCGCCTGTAACCTACAACCTTCTCCTTAGGATCCAGTAATGTGTTCCAGTGGGTTTGTGTTGGCGCGTTTCTATGGGTAAACGTCTCACGATGTTGTTGTTGTTTATTGCTGCAGTTAACAGCTGGAGAGATGCAGGTTTATAATACTGGGTTTTAAATTTGATTGGCTACAAATACAACACCTCAAAAGTAAATTGAGATGAAAAGTGTGCTGGTGAAGGAGGCGTGGAATTTTGTAAACGGCCACAGAGTGCAGCATCCCAGAGGACGTTTCTGGGCAACAGTTGCCCTCAACTGAGAACTGTAAGGATCGATGTACTTGACATCTAAATGGGAAATACAGTCAAACTAAGAAACTGGGACGTTCCCTAAACCAAAATAAAAATTGTCTAAAGGAGCTACTTAATAGCACACAGTGTAAAACAAGACTATCCACGTGTCTGCAAATAGTGCCTGAAGGGATAAAGGGTTATAAAAAAAGACCCATTGATTGGAGACACCTCACTGCCTATGAACAAAAGGACAGGTGACCATCACAACAATGAGATTAGTGTAAAACACAACTGACTGAGTTGGTCTCAAAAGGAACATATGGCTGTAACAGTGTAGCAGTGTGGAGTGATGACAGTACTAACAAGTCCAAATGGCAAATAACCAAATTGGAAGGCACATTCTGGCAACAACAAAAAAAATCTGATAAATGGCAACTGTGTAGTGTTTACACAAACAACAAAAGAGTAAAACTATATTACAATACAAAAATAAATGGAGAGAGTACAATAAATAAGAAATTTTTATCCTGCTATGTACAGTACTTACACCTGATTAATTTACACTATACACACGGGAATAAAAGAGGTCATGTGGAGGATGGTTTTGAGCTCTGATTTTACTGTAGCACCAAAGAGGAGGGATGTCCTGACACAAAGGCCACCTGAAGTGGAAAAAAGACACGCAAACAACACTAACACTTAGTTAGTTACTAATTAAAAACTCATAAACCTGCACAGTAGTAGAAAGACTGGACAAAAGGAAAGATATTCTGCGAATGCAGATCTGGATCACATGTTTTGAATTATGGTGGCAGGGCTAAACTCTTGTGTTATAATTCAATTTTTTGTCATATAAAATGCACCCCCCACCTGTTTGACGGTATTAGATCTATTCCACTGATAGAGGCAGGCTGGAGCCAGAGGATGGAGTACATTTCCCACAGTAGCCTCCGCATATTCCTGACACTCTGCTGCCATCCTGTGGACACAAGAGGAATAACATCAGGTATGCGTGATTCTGCTGCTGCTGCTTAAGTGAACATGAGTGTGTTTTGTAATTATTGTCATACAGGTGCTGAATATGAGAAAACATTTTGTCAAGCACTTTCCCCTGACACTGATCTGAACTGTAAGACAGATTTTAGTTTGAATTGGCTGTTGGGAAAACAAAGCCTTGACAGTGAAAGAATTGGTTGTGCTGCTTCCAAGTTGTATGAGAATGTCATCACTTTGAAAGGTATTTGTGGCAGAGTTGTTTTGCTGGCTCTGAAAGTAGCTTTTCCTTTTTAAAAGGCGCACAAAGACGGAGGCCCACCAGGTAGGAATTGGATAATCACACTCAGCAAAAAACAGAAAATACAAGCTGATTAATCACCAGCACTTCACCAGCCTCATTTACATGCAGCATTATGGGCAGTTTCATCCAAACATCTACGAACAAAAAGGAAATTACATCAGACGAGTACACCAAAAGCTCTATCCCACGACATGAAAGCCATAGCGCGCAGTGAGTGGTTTGTCTGATCTCCTCTGGAGTGCTCTCTCCTTCCCACTGTCACAACCTGGCTTTATTTAAACTGCCTGCAGTGCCCAGAGCGGGCCGGGCGGCTGGCTGGCTATGGATATCAGACTGTGAACACGTTCTGGCATCACAACTGCCTCCTGTTTTCGCCTTGCCAAAAAGCACTCTCCAGCTTGATCTCCATTTCAAAAGCGGAGGGTAGGGGTGCCCTTGAGAGAGCAGCTGCCCAATAAGGGTCCTTTCTCAGTGAGTTTATGGGGAGAAGTGGAGTTGGGAATACAGAATCCACTTGGGATTATGCCCACTTAGAGCTCTGGAGCCAAGAGGACATGCAGAGAGGAGAATAGGGAGGGAGGGATGGAGTAGAAGAGGAAACAGAAGAAACAGAGAAAACAAGGCAGTAAAATTGAGAGTTACAGAAAGGCAGGAACATGTATGTTTAAAATGATTTGATCAGAATAGTTACATTTAAACTTATTACTACTTTATATACTGTATATACTGTATACTGTGTATACATCATGAATAAATGAGGGATTATAATGAGACTTCTGTCACCTTTTTAGATGGTAAAAGCTTCAAAATGTCAAAAAAAAATCTCTAAGACCGTGCAGTTAAAGTTAGCTGTTTTCCCAGGATATGAACACGTAAAAACGTGAAATATTTCTGGTACCTGTGATTTTTGTATATCAGCTACTGCATAGTTGCCCTGGGAGGTCCAAGAGGTGTCCTCAGCCACCTTAAAACCTGTTCCTGAGAGGTTGATCCGAAACTGCCCCTGAAAAAATAGAGAGAGAGAGAGAATGAATATAAATAAGATTCCACCAGATGCATTAGACATTACTACCTCTCACCATGTGCTTTGATAAACAAACTTTGAAGTGTCTGATTTACCGCAAGCAGCACAAAGAAGGAGGAAGTAAAGCACCTAAGGGTCTCAACTCAAATATTTCAAAGCAGAATAAGGGCAAACTGAATTACAGGCAACAGGAGATTAACACAAAATTATTAATTATAACTAATGCAATTCATTAGTAAGGGTACTCTTTTTGATTGATTGTATTAGATGATTAAAAGTACAGAGTAACTCTGTACAGCAGTAGTTCACCAAGGATTAAACCACAATCAAGCCCAAAAGGCTTATTTCTATTGTGGTCCTGCAACATGTAACAAATGACACAAAAACAAAACACCCATCAAGACAAAACATACAATGGCGGAGTGGCACATCCTACAAGCTGTCTTCATAGAAAGAGTGTCAAACATCAACTTTGTCATTGTAAATACATTTCATTTTACACAGCCAACGGTAACTGCATTAGTTTGGTAGAGTTAGCTACGCAGGTAGCACATAGACGATACATGCAAGAGAATACATGAGACTGGCCTAGTTGCTGGATGTTTTGAGAATAAATATTTTTCTCTTCTTTTCAATCAATAACAATTCAGGTTCAAGTGTTTTTGGAATTTCTCATGAAAAACTAGGCATGAACTGCTTCTAAAAGAATGGACACTAATAAAGCTTTTCTGTTGCAGGAAAAGCACAGGTCTCATTAATAACACTAATAACGATGTTCCTAGGCATTCTCATTCTGTGGAATGGCTTATTAGGACACTTAAAAGAACTGAGCCATCATTAATGTTATTAGTTACACTTGTGCTTTTCCTGCTATGACAAGTCAACAGTCTGCTGTGAAAAAGTGCAGTTTCCCCCTCTGGTCATACAATTAACAGCTGCCGTTGTTTTTACCTGTGGACAGCGTGCGGCGCTGTAGCAGTCTCCAGCTGTAGCGAATGGAACACTCTTGCCTTCACGGGTGAAAGCAAACTGCCAATCTGTAGCTGAATAACAAGACAAACAACAAGCTAATCAAGAACCATGTGACAAATGCTGTTCCTGTAGGACCTCAGATGAACTTTTATAATGACAGCCTACATCTGCCATAATGGCCGAGCCTTGTGTTATTTAACTGGTCTAAATCTAGCCTTAGTTTTAGGGTCAGCCTAATATCAGTATAATTTCATCTACTTAAAGCAGTTTCATTTAATCCCCTCAAGCCTTGTAATTGTGTGTTGCTTAAATGAACCTTGAAGACATCTTGAGCCCATTAACCCTCGTGAGCACGGACATAATTAAATGGCAAAGGAAGCTCTTATTTGAGAGTAATGTAGAGTTAACACTGGCGCAGGATGCTGTTGCGTGTGTGTGTGTGTGTGTGTGTGTGTGTGCCATAATCAGACTTTTGCATGTGTATGAGCCACTCACTAATGATGTTCATTTTGCTGAGGTCCAGGCGCACTTTGGAGAAGGTGGTGATACCGGCGGCGGTGTAGTCTCTCCGACAGTCACAATCCTCTCTGCTGGAGCCATTGGCTGGACACTGGGTGGGGTCATTGAGCCTGGTAAACACACACACACACACACACACACACACACACACACACAAAAGATACCAACTTTACTGTTACATGGAATTTCTTCATTTACAGACAGAAAACATTGCCAGGAGTCAGCTGGATTTTGTAATGAAACCGGCTGTTCTCATCGTTATCCTCCTAGCTGTTTACCTGAAGCCAAAGATCTCTGAAAAATTCTCCCTTTCTCCCGTTGTCAAGGTGATGTACTCCTGTGGAGTCTCCGTCTGCATTCCTGCACAGTAGACCTGAGGAGAACAGGGTGGAGGAGGACGAAAAGGAGAAGTGGTAACCAGAGGGAGGAGGAAGAGTCGGGGACCAAGGGTGAAGTAAAGGGATGAAGGTGAGAGCAATCGGATAGAGAAAAAAATAGAAAAGTAGAGAAGAAGTGCAGATTAGGAAAGGAGGAACATTAATGGTGGTGAGGAGGGGAGGAAAAGGAGTCGAACATAAGATGTTATGATGGCTAGAAACACAGAAAGTAAGAGTCTTTTTGAAGGCAGTCAAACAATTTCCTCTGACTGTGTGTTATGAAATGTGCTGAATCTATTGCAACCCTGTACACCAGGCACCATAAGTATGCCTAAACACAAGTTAGTAGAGATGAATTTTAAGGACTTTGTACTGTGGTGCAGGCACATACACAGTCACACAAACACTGTAGCAAAATGTTCTGTCAGTGTTTAAGTTGTCTGAAGGCATGAAGACCCACTCATAAATAAAACCTCTTTTGGCTTTGGATTTCTGAGGTAATACGATCATGTAATGTTACCTTGCGTGCTTTTCCTTGAACATTGAGAAAGTGTTCGCTGTCTGGGAGGGGGCCGTGCGCGCTCTGGACGTCTCGACAGCTAGAAGGCAAATGGCCTTGAAGACCCAAAACAAGTAGAAATAAGTTGGTATACAGAAGTGTATTATGCAAAGATTTAACATACAGGACAGGCACTCAGGCTGTATACACACACGTGTGCACGCATGCACACACAAATTCCAGGAGTTAAGTCAAGTGTGGCAAATCGCTGCATCGAATGAAAGAAAACGAAAAGCCACTCACTCTTTGATGTCCTATCCTACCGTAGGGAAGTAAATACACTGGACAGTGAATCTTTGATGTTCGCCTGGGATCATAAATATTTCACTAAAGGCCAAATCTCTGAGATGACCGGATCAAGTCAAGCCATACCTAATACTCTGGGATGCATTCAGCCGGCTAGTATCTAAACCCTGGTAGCCTTGACCATTGTTAAAAAGAGCAGAGGTTTTCTATCAATACTCACAGGCTGGATTTCTGCAGACTTTTCTGTCCTCTGGCATGGCGTCTAGAGAACACCTATTGCTTTCCTGGCCATCCGTGGACACGCACTGCACCGTCCTCTCCATCACCCCATCACCACAGCTCACTGAACACTGGGGGGGAGGAAGAGAACCATGGCAGTGTGAAAATAAAACTTGTGGATGACAGTCTGTCAGCAGTTTTCATCTTGACAGTCACCCCTTTAAAAAACTGTATGTACAGTTCAATACTGATTATTTACCTATGATTTAATGTCTTGCTTGTATGGCCTCTGTCCTGTAATGTTTTAAAACTAGGGTGGGTCTTGTAAAGCACTTTATAACTTTGTTTTGATAAGTGCTGTATAAATAAAGTTTAGAATCCTTATTATTATTATTATTATTTAGGTTGAAGACCTGTCTGTCTTGCATTTATTAACCTTACAGTCAGTCTTTGATGAATCATAAGGTAAGCTCACAAGCCTCATGATTATATTTTTAGGAAACCAAGACTAAAAACATGCCTCTTCCATCTTGACAAAATACTGATAAATGACCGGACACATTTTAGAACCATGGACTCGCTCACCAGTCCCCAGATTCCAACCCTCCACTTCTGTGGCGGTGGGCACGGGTCCAAATTACAAGGCATGTAGCTCTCAGGGGGGGTCCCGGGGCAGTTGGACAGAGACTGATGGCCGTACTCATAGTTGTCATTCTCCACATGCACCTCGCTGCAGGAGATCAGACGCTGCCGGTAGCCCTGTCCACAGCTGGCTGAGCACTGGAGGAGAGAATAAATCACCAGGTTGAAATAACAAAGGTATTCCACACAGGAAACATGGGTGATTTCCGCATCCCTGGATGTGAAGATGGTTATTTGAATGAACTGTCTTTTTGAAGAGGAAAGAATTGCTTTTTCAGAGCAAACTGACTTTTTTACAATACAGATCTCAAAGAATTTACTGGGACTACATCATTTAAATGCCACACAGCTTCTTCTGCTCTCACCTCTGTCCATTCCCCTGTGATCCAGATTAACTCACAGGCCTGGCTGTTACAGCTCTCCATGTCTGGAGGTCTGATCTGATTCACACAGTACATCTCATGGACCTCCTGCTGGTTGTGGTCCACACACTGCAAGGCTCGCCGTCGGTGGCCCGCCCCACACGACTTACTGCACTGTAGCGGAGACAAGACAGAGACCAGCCTTTTACACAGATGGTAAATCATGTATGAGTGGAAATACGACATGTGGACCTAATTATGTGTGCACATCTGTCCAGCTGCAAACTTTTTGGAAACTGCATGTGCAATTATTAGGTTTAAAAAAGGGAATTCCCACTAATGATGAACGCAAAGAAAGAGCATGGATGAACAGTCTCAGATTTGTGTTTTCTCGTGAAGCATTATCACCACCGCATGATGGGACTACAGTGTAAAGACGTCAAAACAGTAGATAACAGCTGGAAGGAAAGCATTGAGTTGTCGAGCAGAGTCAAAATTCACAGCTGTAAGCAAATGCCTGAAGTCTTAGCATCCAGACTGAATAATCCAGTAGTAATTAACAAGGAATTACATGTTCAGCCTTTCATACCAACATTCATCCATGTCAGAAATCAGACAGATGGAAACCAGTTAACCCAAGTTATCTCTGGTGTCACCTTTTCTTGCCACTGCACGTTCCTATTTGAGAAGTAAAAAAGAAAGGCTAAGACCAACACTATGTGAAGAATGATCTATTGTTTTCTCAGAAAGATAACCTTTTGGTGTCCATTAACTACAGCAAGGATAGAATTAGCTTAACTTAGCATAAAGACTGAAAGCAGCTAAAAACATCTAGCCAGTGACAGGAAGTGACTGCACATGGCTAAGAAATAGTTACAGCAAGTAACTCCCAGTAAAACCACATCTTTTTTTTACTTTGCACAGGGCGACTTCAGCTGGTCTTCATCACTCTTAAAATGTCGAACACTGTCAAACAAGTGAAATACATGGAACTGCTATGAGCTGTGATGCTGTACTGTGCAGTAATAAAACTAACCCTACATGACAGGTACCTGAGTTTCAGGATGTTTAGGTAATATTGACAAAGCTGTCAGCGAAAACATTTCATCCAGGTATGTTAGGCCTATAGAAGAAAGAAAAATATTGGTGTAAGACATCATCTCTGATTTGCGGAGTAAATGTAAGTGGAAAAAAGACTTAAGCATGGTAACCCCTGCCAGGTGAACTGTTGTAATTACCTCCAGCTGTTAATTGGCACACTCAGGCAGGGAGCTCCAAACACTTCTCTAGACTAATTAGACTCTCCTTTCAGAGAAGACATTTCCTGCTGCTCAGTGACCCAGATTCAACTTCACTTGCACACAGTGAAGAAGAACCTCGTGCTGCAGCCGCCTGTTCTAATAATCCCAACTCTCAAGACAGATCTGTAGCCTCAAGCCTACACAAGCATGCTGAATGTTAGTAAGCAGGAAAGTGCCCATTAAATACAGCCAAGGTATGACTGCAACCTATTAAACAACAAGTCTGTATAACTTTGAGGGTTCTCAGTATCAGAGAGCAGATTCTAGATAGAAAACACTATTACACTACATACAGTTTTCAAAACAGTTTTTTTATACTAATATTCAATTATGAAAATCAAGGAAAATAATAAAATACATTTATCAGTAACATTGAATATTCTGAGAACAGTCCACTTTAAACTAGTGAGAAGAGAACAGATTTAAAAAAGAAAAAGAAGAAATACAGGCAAATCTCTCTCTCTCAGAAATAACCAAAACTGTTTGGCAGAGAATATTGTGTGTTCATGTAGATGTGGTTCTACATGAACACACAATATTCTCTGCCAAAAAGTTTTGGTCACTTAAGAAGTTGACTCCGAAAACTGTAGGGCGTTTAATCTAGCTTTTAAGTTGCAACATTGTAATTGTTTAAATAATAAATAACAGTCATGCCTCACAGGTGTGTATCTACTTTACTCGTATTTACCAAACGTGTCAACTGCTTCTGAAAAAGCGAATTAGCCAATCAGCATCAAGACCAGAATTATCCACTTCACAAAGATTCTTGTGCTTTATGGGGGCAAAAAAGGCTGATCATCTGATTTTCATCAGGGGCATGCCATGCAGCAGCTCGCCTCGTCTCCTCCCCTCTGGCCTCAGACAGTAGCAGCGACTAGTGCTTCACCAGATATGAGAAAACTCATCCCCGCCCGGTTTGAGACAGGGTGGTAAAACTACTTATGTAAGCACACAGGTTACAATGCTTTCCTATACAGGCATTCCTCAGCTTACCGTCTGCCAATCTCCTTCTCTCCACCGGTACCGAGAGGGGCACTGAGCGACCCGGCAGGTCTGGCTGGACGCTGGTCTGGATCGCTGCGAGCAGCCGCTCTCTAGCGGGCTCCGTCGGTCTCCATCCTGGCAGAACACCTCCCGACGCTGGATGCCGTCGCCACACGATGCTGAACACTGAAAACAGGAAAGGCAAGCTCTTTGAAAACGTTTATTCAACCTTTAATACTCCGTTAAAGTTTATAGTTTTAGCCTACTGCATATTACAGTAGCATTACGGCTCGTGCGTTTACTGACCTTTACTTACTGGTATTTCTACTTTGTTTGCCTGCTATGATATTTTATTTTTATGTGGTAGGCTATAAAGATAGCATTTATTAAATATATGGAGATATATATGTGGAGAATGAATATACTTGACTAAATTCAACAAATATTTTTAACAGTTGTATTTTATTGTACTTTAGTGTGGTGGTTACTGATTTGGGTTCTAGATGTCTCTTCACCTTTGTTTTGTTTTTGTTGTTGATGTTTTGTGACTCCTTAAGTAATTATGCTCACATTATGTCCAAATGTGGCTGCTATTTAATAGGATGTTCATAGATGTAAATGCAATTTTTCTTTACTAACCAAAGTGTGAGGCACTGGCATTTCAACGATTACACACATGACTTGGCATTATTACAATTTTTTATTAGTACTATTAAGCAAATATGTAATGTTTATAACTGTTACCGATACTACTGTTGTTTTTCTACGGGAATGTGAAGACATTCAAGTTGGAGCCTGGAAAGTGGATGGTTTTGTGAAACTGTGTCTAAGCTGCAGCAGCATTGTTTTCAATCAAAGAGTGACTTTTTCTGCTCTAATACACAACTCAAAACACAGAAAACACAAAGAACGGGCGAAGGACAACGACTCCCTTTTGTTTTCTGCCAGTTCTGTTCAGCTGTTAAACCAGATGACTTAAACAATCACATTATATAAGCAATGTATACATTTGGACTTTTTTGTGTATATTTATGCTTTTTGAAGGTGATATTTAACAGTAACTTTCTTGTGTTTTTCTCTTTTCAGACATGTGTTGATGGTTCTGAACAACCTGCACTGCACTGATGTTAATGTAATGCTAATGAATGACATCATACATATATTATAATTTATGTAGCTTTGAAGTCAAGGGGTTTTAGGGTACATTATGAGGAAGATTTGGAGTAAGACCGATCTCTGTTTGTGTCAGTGTATATGGGAGAGACTTGAGACCACCACCATAACTGCTTCCATTTTTGCAGGTTTTAGGGAGCGAGAAGTGATCAACAGAGCCAGATGATCAAGCTGAGGTGACATCTGATCACTGGATGTGTTACAGCAGCTTAACATTTCTACATGAATGTATACAAATACACTAGTGTCTTGCAGACACACTGTGACACAACTTTCCATATTTTGTCATGTATTATCTGCCATCTTGTTTCAGCAGTTGAACTGCTAGGCAGCCTAGTGCACCATGGGTAATCATGCTGTACTTGACTAAGAGCCTCGTGTGGAGTGTAAGCTTCTCCTGGCAAGAGTCCTGCTCCACAGCTGTTTAGAGCAGACGCACATCCTCTCTGACGTTTGGAGCACAGATGTGGCTCCGTGCTTGCACTCTTGGCCAGTGGGGTGAATTCAGAGAAACGGGACACGAGGAAAGAGAGAGAGAGAGAGAGAGAGAGAGGGAAAAACAGATATAGAGAGGGTTAAGGGAGGGAAAGGAAAAGCAACAGGCTCTCCAATAGCCCAAGTGCAGGTTGTGAGTGTGTCTGGCATGATGACGTTAGCGGATTGCCTCTTTCGTAGGGCACTCAAAGAAAAGACAAACATGTGGTTCCTATTGGGGAGGCAGAAGATAGAGAGGAAAAAAGAGAAAGAAAAGTGTTCAGTGGGAGGAAACAGCATCAGTCAGAGGAGAAAAGGGACAGAGAGGAGAAAAAAGTGAGGACCAGAGGAAGAGGAAATATAGGGATGAGAGGATCAGATTTACACTGTCTTGTCTTAACATCAGTTAAGTTTGGATCAAAGAGTAGGGTGCACATCCCTCCTGCTGTCACTTTACAGTGAAGTCGTGGCCCCTGCATGCATACACTACCTCCAAACCCCTGTTAGTAGCCATCCCAGGTAACCTTGCAAACCACTATGTGATGTGTAAAAGCACCCTCGCTTAGTTAGTGGCCTGGCATGGTGCATAACTACAGTCAGGTTTAGTCGCAGATGTTTTCACACACATGCACATACTTGCCAACAAGCTGGTAAGCATTAAAGTGGAAAGAGGGGAGGGGGGGGCTACATGTCTGGCAGTGTGAGAACCTGAGTGGCAGAGGAGTGTTTTATAGCAGGGTCAAAGAGTCCTACCTCTCTCCAGCTGCCAGTCTTCCACTTGGGACACCGTCCACCTCGGCAGCGCCTCTGCTTGCTCGGTTTGGGGGACAGAGTCTGGCAGTTTTCCTCTGGGACAGAGCGGCCTGACCCGGTCACACAGCTCACCTTACGAGACTTGAACCCTCTTCCACAGGAGGCAGAGCACTGCAGGAAATCAAATGGAAGAATGTATTAAATTGCAATCAAAAGGTGTGTTTTGTGTTAAAGTACACGTGTTTTTTTGGGCCGGGGGGTGGTCAGCATTATTAAAGTCAAACAGCATTACTGGGACTCACAATGCACATCATTTGTTGAATGTCAATTGAATCTGAATATGCATGATAACAAATAGATGACAGCGCAGCTATAGATAAAGTTTAAGTATTTATTGAACAGGTAAATGTCGATCATTTTGTGGATCTTTTTGACTCAAACAAAAAAAGCAAACAAAAAAAGCGACATGAGACACAGTTACACGTGGGTAGCTAGTCCAATGGCAAAGCGTGCCCGTTCAACCCGGCAGCAGTTTGTTTCATCTCCGGGTTCAATGAGTCACTGGAAGTCTAACTCAGTGTGACAGGCAGACACACACACACAGCAGCAGTTACAGGAGGGAGTGGAGAAGGGCTGGGCTGTGCTCAGATAATCAAAGGGGGCGTTGCATGTGGGGATGGATGGGAAGCGACAGGCTCAGAGTTGAACGAGTACAGGGCCCAGCATGTGGTGTTGTCCTGACCAGCAAGGGACTGTACTAGACAGGAACATGCCGTGACCTCTAACCCCATTCAGAGGGTAGGAGGGCTCTTGAAAGGAGGGGCTAATGAAATGCTTATACCCATTTTAAATGCGGGCATCCCTATTTGATTTGTAACGCACTAGATATATTCAAATTATTCTTGTTGTTGGTGATGGTCTGTGGATTGTCGATTAATTCGATCAGTAATTGTGATTCAGTTTTGTGTTTTGCCAAGAAATAAATGAGTCATTTCCACATTGTGTGATTCTTGTGCAGATATTGTTGATATTATTGTGCTTCAAATTTAATAAAAATTACAAGACTGACTTCATGGTTGATGTAATAAGTCACTGACAAAGATGAACACAAGGTGCTTTACCACATTTGTTTCAGATGGAACTGTGGAGCGCAAGTCTGTCATCACAGGGGAAATTAGGCTTTCAAAGGTTCAAATCATTAAAAGGAAACCACTGTTATGTTCAAACGTCTGGTCATTCCTCAAGTGTTTTACATACTTTTTTTACAATGGCTTTCATGCTCTTGTACTGTGCTGAAATGCCCTCAGAATACCTTGAGAATCAGTCCAAATGGGTCAAATTTGTGTTTTATCATCCCTCCATCCCCCTGCTGGGTTCATTCAGTTTGCCCACAAGTTCTCTGGGATTCTGTAAGTATCCAGAGAAGTTCACTAATACAAACATCACTGCTCACACATACTTGAAATTAACATTTCCCACTTGATCGGATAAAAAATACACTATATAAACAACTTTATTTGCATCCATTTTATTTGCAGACGGGAATCACAGGGTTGGCAGTTCGATCCCCGGCTCCTCCTGTCCACATATCGAAATGTCCTTGGCCAAGACACTGAACCAAGTTGCTCCTGATAGGCAGGCCAGCCATCAGCGTGTTTGTGTGACTGAGAAGCAAATATATGTGCACTCCTTTTACCATAATGCTACGTGGAAATTAAACAATGTCAAACACTAGTCTGATCATTACAATCCATGGACATGAATATATAAAATGCATCATACAACTTTAATTATAAAAATCCAGACAGGCGAGAAACCACCTTAAATCCACCACTTTTCATCATGTCAGCATAGGGTTTGGGAATCCCATTCAACTCGCCCCCACCCCCCTGCTCCCCCATGGGATCACAGCAATTTCCCAGAAGTCTTTCTGTGCTGATGGGACGAATGGGAAGGGGGCCCCTCCCCAGATCAAACGTAACCCTTAACCCACAAATACACCACTGCATTGTCTTGTGGACACCCCCCTCCTCATTTGAGTCGCTGGCCCCTACATTGGTACACTGTCATCAACCCGCATTACACCAAAGTAGAGGGGCCTGACAGAAAGGGACAAAGGGGGCTGGCAACTTCATAGCGGAGCACACCCCACCAGGCATCCCAGAAAAAGCCGGGGTAGGCATTAAGAGTGAATGAAATGGGAGGTATATTGAGGCATTGTCACACAGGACAAAGATTTTACCTTGATGGAAAGAGCTTTGAACTCCTGACACAGACGGTAAAAACATGATCGCTCAAAGAGGTCAGCAGAGGCCCTGACCACATAAAATAACAATGATTATTGCTCAGTGATTTGTGCGTTTTCATTCAGGAAAAAGACCCTGTTGAACAGCTCGGCATCGGCTATTTGCCAGACCTCTCTTTTTAAATCTTTTAGCTGAAGTCTAAAGGTTAAACACAAAATAATATAGTAAAATACATAAATATTTCAATATAAGGCTTAGGAGCAGGTCTAAAATGTTGCAAACAGCGAGGTTATTCGCGTAATGAATGTTGTTAGAGGTTGGTACTTTCATATCTGTTTTCAGTTTTTGACTTTGTTGGACAACCGGTCTGTTTGAGTTGCCAGCAAGTTGTAAGTTGTTAGTCTGAAGTGATGTCGCCTGCTCACTGCATGTAACAAAAATGTAAGTAACGCTTTAGTAACGCCGCAACATACAGAGTAATTCTTTCCAATTTATAGTGTAATGTTTTACACTGACTGTGTACCAGTAGAGTACATACTGATACATACATGTAGGTACAAGTGCAGATTTAAAGTGAAGGGGGTAACAAAATGGGAACTTGTAAAATAATTTATACTGTATTTCTTTTTTAACCTATTCTAATATTACAGGGTACATAAGTGTGACCATATTGAGAGCCACACACTGGTAATAAACGAGCGCTCACCATCAGCATTTGCTGATCAAGTGAGTGGCAGCAGATACCTTCTTCTGTTTCAGCTTTTGCTGAGGGAAGCTTAGTAAGTGTAAATTGTTTAATATTAGATACCAAATAAATACTAAATTATTTTTAAATTCCCAGATTGTTACCCCCTTGTTCCCTAAATGCGCATCTTGTTGCCTTGTACCTACATGTATGAAGCGGTACGTACACTACTGCTACACCATGCAAAAAATTACACTTTAAATTGTGAAGAATTGCACTGTATGTTGTGGGCCGTAAAAGTGTTACCGGAACGTTTTGTTCAAATAAGAATGAAGAAAAGCCTTTAATAGTACCTCTACTTCACTTTAATCGTCCTTTTCTGGAAATGAACAGAAATCCAACAAATCCATAAAAAATTAAATATTGACATAACATTATAATGAAGTAACAATAAATACAAGTAATTACATAAATGTACAGAAATCTTCTTCAAACACAGACTAATACTGCCATTTGTGAATAAGAGACATACAATATACTTATTTCAAGAGCCTGTTGATATGGTGTTTGATATGTACTGCTATTTGAACCAAGAGGTTGACCACATGGAGTCAAACTGCTTAGACTGAAAAATGAAGCTAAACAGGAATAGGGTTAGGATGTACTGTGTTAATACTCTTTCTGGTTTCACTGATTTTACACTGCCTTGTAATCACACGTGGGAGTCATTATGAGCCATAGTTCTCATTAGTAAATGATGTGTGGTAAAATATGTTCTCACTGCTGTGTTAACAGGCCCTTAAAATAAGGTGTGATGTCAATACAGACATTTATGACCAGGAGGAGTCAACTGGGTGGGCTGCAGGCAAAGTTGCCCCTAACCACAGATTCTGGGTCAGTTTTCATTGTCCTCAGCGGGATGGTAAGCATTACAAGGTGGGAGATGACATACACCCTGGATCTGTGTTTAGGGCCAACAACTGCAATGGGTAGCCTCAAAACAACTCATGCTTAATCTTAGCCAGCCAAAACCCCTCCAGTGCAAGGGAGAGAAAGATACGGCAGGGGGGCAATCAAAACAGAGACTGAGGTAGACACATTAGGTTGGCTCAGAGTAAGAGCTCTGGATACAAAACACTATTAACTTCCCCTGTGGTCACAGGTATCACGTGTTCAAAGTACGCCATCAGCCCATTCTCGTGAAGGTTGTTCGATGGACATTGGCAGACAATTCAACATTATTTCATCATATCTGTGATACATGTTGCATTTAGCTGATCAAGCTGATCAATCCACTTACTGCTCATGGATAGAAGTAAAAAGTACAGAAAAGGCATCACCAAAGAGCAATGTGCCACAATAAACACCTAAATGAGCAAAAATGTGATGGTTCATTTTTGATATTTATATCTTATGTCTCCCTTGTTTGGCCAAAGCACCACTGTAGTGTAGGTTATCATAGTTTAATGGCTAGCTGAGTTGTGTTCTGTTCCAAGTGAGGTATTGTTGAGCATAGCATATTTAGCAACTCCAAGTACTTACTGTACAAAGAAAACAATAACTAACACAATATAAATACACTCATATCAAGCACCTTTGGAGCAGAGAGTTTTAAACCTATTGTCTTGGCCACACTAAGGAAATCTGGGTCAAAACCCTCTGCCAAACTGGAATACAATAGCTATTAGTTGTAATTACCACAAACTTGGTGAGACACTTTATTTTACAGCACTAGTACAGCTGCTGTTTGCTGGTGTTTACTACTGATACTGGACGTTTCAGGAACTTTTGAGTCAACATATTCATGCTTGAGTGTCATTATACTTATGGGGCAACACCACTGTTGGTTTCATAGCAGAGGGTAAATACATAAACTGTAAAATAAAGTGTCTAAATACGATTAGTAACTTCTCTAAAAAAACACATGTGCCTTGAGACAAATTGAATTCTTGATACAATAGCCATTTCAAAGATGTAAATAGTACAAAGATGTATGTATAGTACACAGCCCAAACACAGTCCTATCTACGTTGATGCAACTATATTGTGGGCCATTCTTTGGATAATAAAAGAACAAGGCATCTTACTGTATATTCCTGATATACAAAAACATTCAACAGTATTTGCATATGAACAACGATTGGCTAAATGTGCGAATACAAAGAGCTAAGACACAAAATAAATCACTTCTTAAAGTTAATGCTATATACAAAAGATAAAAAGAAAAAAATATCTTAATAAATTATCTTTAAAAACAATATCTTACAAAACTAACTTTGATTGAAATACAAATTGATCCTGAATTTTTCAAATACTAATACAAGGCTCAACAACAGTTTTATGGTAACTAGGACTGACAAAAATGTTTTTATGGTCACAGCTGTCACTGAAGTGTTTTGTGATGTTGTACTCTTTTGGCATTTTGCAAGCGAGTGTATCTTTGCCATTTTTATGTGCAACAGAAATTAACTTTCCAAAAGTCTTGCGGAATTGTTGACCAATCGCAGACATCAAAGAAGGAGCAGGAAGTGGAGGAGGTTAAAAGTAAAAGTAGAGAAGCGGGAGTGTAATTTCTCCAGTGCAAATGCACCATAGTCATCCTGTCCCTTTAAGACTGTTTGTGAAAGAGTAAGACTACAGGTATTTGAAAAAACTGTGAGGTTGAAAAAACAAGGTATAAAGTATTTTTTATGAGCGTACCGAGCTCCATGGGTCTGTGTTCCAGTGGGGGCTAGACGGGCACGGCTGAGTATTGCACTGCTCACGATCTGGTGGCTTGTCATGGATCTCGCAGCTCAGATCATTGAAACGTTCGCCGTTTGGACGCTGACACACCACCAGCCTCGTCTTTATCCCACCGCCACATGGCTTGGTGCACTGAAGACAGCAGGAGGAGAGGTTGTGTTTTACAAATGGGTTTGAGGAAAAGGTTTTTGAGTGTGAAGAAAAAAACTGGGGGCATTTTTTCAAGTGAAAATATATCTGTTTTGCATGAAGCATGGGGAATGGGAGCCTGAGCCTAAGCTGATTTCTAATGCATTTCCAAACCTCCACACAAAGCAACTTCTGCATCAGTCAAAGCAATTATTCAACACAATGAGCATCCCAGAGTTTACAATTATCTATCTAAGCTAGTCCAGGATCTCTAAAGGAGACTAAAGAGCCATTGGTAAACTGTAATCTGATGTAAACAGCAGTAAAGTGGTGCCAGTCTTACCTCTCCCCAGTTGCCATAGATCCACTGTGGACATGGCCCTGACTCACAGGATCGTTGCTCATTGGGCCGGCTGCGATCCTCACAGCTGTTGGCAGGGTACCCATTCTCATCCTGGCACACTACTACACGCCGCTGGAAACCTCCTGCACATGTGCTGGAGCACTGTTATTACAGAGAGCAAAGAGTGCACACCGTCAAATAGATGGTTCTCACAAACAGATGCTCAGATGCAAACAGATACAAAGTACTGAATCGACGTGCCTTTGTGTACATACACTAGTAGGTTAAATGCACACAGTACTCATAATGAATCAAAGTGCACAACGAGGTATATGTAGTGTGCACACAAAGCCCTCACTTTCAGAGAACAATGCTAAGAGACATATCATGTCAAATAACTGACCATGTCTGCTGCTATATTAAAATACATATCCTCAGGACAGAGGAAGGAAGAGTCACCAGAAATAGCTATTTCCCAGTCACAGTATTTAAAGGTCAAAGTTATCTTTGGTGTTACATCACAATGGCTAAGGCCTTGTCTTAATTAAAAAGAGTGCAGGGCCTGGAGAACTGAGCCTCACTTCAAAAGTGTTTGTCAAGATCAAGGCCAAAGTCTGCCTGAGGTTACAAGATGCATTGTAAGGAGAAAATAACTGGTTCACAAACTGCTGTAAGAAATTGCTGGACTCATTTACATTTGTGCTTAAAACAACACCGATGTCCCTGCAACACAAGGAACATGGAGAATTCTTGGCATCACAAATTTAATTTAAGGAATAGTTTGACATTTTGGGAACTACACTTATTTACTTTCTTGCTGTGAGCAAGTTGAAGATCTGCATTACTCATGTCTTTATGGTGAATATAAAGCTACAGCGGGAAGCTGGTTAGCTTAGTGTAGCACTGTAAATGGGGAAAGTCTAGCGTGGCTCTGTCCAAATGTAATAAAATCTGCTTAATTTTCTCATCTAGCCCTCATCAAGAAGTTTACTAAGCGCATTTCCCAAATTTAATTAACTCCTGTGTAGACTAACCATTAATTCAATCAATAGAGGGCTACTTTAGCAGTTGGATAAATACAGAAAGTGACTGCATAAAATGTTGTGATAGTGCAGTCTGATTTCACAAGAGTCTACTTCTCTGGTAATCATTTGTCACTATTGCAATGCCAGAAAGAAAGTCACTAACAAAGGAAAAAGACATGGTACACGGTGTGTGCATGAAAATAATGGCCTTCAACAGCTCCAGTTGTAGAGAAGTTGTAGGATTTCTATGGTTGCACAAGATTAAGCACAATATTTCAGATGTCAGGCCCCAGAGAAGTGGGTTTGTTGAGCGCTGTGATCTGATGATGCCGTGTGTAAGATGTCTCACCGCGCCCCAGGGTCCAGTCCGCCACTGGTGAGATTGGCTACGGGGCAGGTTGTTCCTGGTGCTGGTGTTCGGTGAGGACGGGAAAGGTCGGGACTCACTGGAGTGGGACGGGCATTGAGACATAGCGCAGTCCTGCTCTGTGGTAGGACGATCGTCTGGGTCACACTCATTAGCATTCACTTCTTGGTCACTGAAGTTGACGCACAGTACCTGCCGTGTCGTCTTCCCTTGGCCACAGGTCACTGAGCACTGAAAACGCACACATACAGAGTATAAATACATATGCTCATATGCACCTAGATGCAAACAAGCACAGTCATACAAACACACTTGAAGAAAAGAGTCATTATTACATGAGGCATTTGAGGCAAAACTATGAACCATTCATTCCGACCTGCTTTTGGTATAAATAGCTCAACATAGTTGACCAGATTTGGCCCTTTAACCACCGTTTTACAGAGGTTTGACAACTTTGAAATAAAAGGGTGAACATGCATTACTATGTGGAACTAACTAGCAGAGTTTCAGGAGCAGGACCACACGTCAACCACGCAACTCCCGTTATTTCCATAAATACCCATCTAACCCATCTCCTCTACTTTGCTCTCACATTCTGCACCCCACACACACACCTTTATCTTGTTTCCTCATCTCTGTCTTCCTCTCCGTAGGTGCTTTGTTATTCATTATGAGGGGGTCGTCATGCCCGGGTGCTATGGCGGATCTTCCCTATGATAGCTTCCCCATTACGCCTCAGATCCAGAATCCAGCATGTGCAACCCTCACACTTTTTGTTTTGTTAATCAATAAATAATCTATACGTATCTGTTGATGGTGTGGTCCTTGCGAGTGAAAAGAATCATTTGGAGTTATGATGTGACTGCCATGATTACTAGTCTTCCCTCATTCTTTAAATTCTGCTATCTATGGGATTGAGTAAGTAATTGAAAATCTGACCACAGGTGACACTTGACTGGAGAAAGAGTGCTTCACCTTCAGGCTCAGCTTTCTTTTCCATGTGATGGTCTGGAAGAATGCCTGAATGACAGATTCCAATATACTTTGGCAGCAACTAATTCCCAATTCGGGGCAGCAACAAACTCCCAATTCAGTGACCTGTTTCCCATTGCCTCAGATATGGAGGCGTTGACGCAACCAAGGTGAAAGCTCTCCACTACTTGGCTGGGCCTTAAAAAACTGCCACAAAACAAATTTCGCAAACAAAGAACAATGACAATGCTCAACCTTGCGAGGGTCCAACGCCAACTGAAAGCGGTCTTGACTTGGTGTCGAGGATGCTGTCACAGTTCTCATTCCAGTTAAACATGGCATGTAACAAATGGCCATGGCTCCGGCACAGGCAGTATCACCTCAATGGACCCAAGTACACATCTTTCTTTTTAGGAAAGTAACACAAGCACTAAGCACTAACGGTGTCTCAGTCCCCCATAACATAGTCCACATTCTGTTTAGCTTTCTTATGCAACAGCCTCGACAGGGATTTGTGATTACACTGTCCAGAGGTTTACACTGCTCTGTCACAATGTTATGGATTTCACATGATTTTAGATATTGTAAGAAGGTAAGTCGACGTAAGTTATGTGATAGTAAATTAAGCTGTTGGATAACATACTGTAGGCTGTACAGGCCCTGAGAACAATAACAAAACTCATATTGGAGTGTTCTGGCAATTGTAAGATAAAGAAAGCTATAGTGCTTTGGGTTAGTAAATCTAGTGTGTTTGGCTGTGTGATAGTTTAATGTTTTTATATCCCAGTGCCGACTTTAACCAGAATGCACACTAACCAATGGGGCCTCTGAAATCTTGGCCTTGGGGTGAACTATTTCCTTTGGGAGGGGGTCAATGAGTGTCTTTGGTTTGGTGATACGCATGTGTTTGCGTGTGTGTTTGTGTGTATGTGGACATGTGTGCCTGTATATGGTGACCAGACCTGCAGTCTGGCTGTACTGTATTACCAGGAATCTGATGAGAAACATCTGTAAACAACACTGGAGCCCCTTGCATCTCCCAGCTCCAGAAATGTGTGCCTCACTCCAATTCTCTCTCTCTCTCACACACACACACACACACACACACACACACACCTTCTCTAGCCTCATTCCAGCACTCCACCAGCCTTCGACACACACTTGCCTTTCAGCTTCCTCCCTGTCTCCACATCTTTGCTCACACAAACATCTTCGTAGCGTGTGCAGACACTAATTGTCAGTGTAGGTAAAAAATAAGGTAGAGTGTAAAGGCATAAATAAACCTTGCAGGAAGACTCAACATCTGGACAGCAATAGTGACAACAACCAATTTAGGTTAATCAACAGTATTGTCTCTCAGTATAATGAGACGCAGATCTGTGGGAAAATGCTTATTGAATCAACTCTTTTCAAAATTTCCATATATTTGACACTGAATAAATGATGACAATAGTAGCTTTTCTTACCACTGTCCATTCCAGCACTTTCCACTGTCCGCAGGCCACTACTGAGCACACTTCTCTGGCAGGGGGTTTTGGTAGATGGGCGCAGGCCGACTCATCTGCCACTCCACCCTGGTTGTCACGGCAACTCACATAACGCATCCGCGTACCTTTGCCACAGCTGGCACTACACTGTTGTGCAGAGGAGAAAGGTTAAGAAGCTGAAATCCATTAAAAAGACAAATGGATTGAGGGTGTGGCAGGACAACTAACCTGGGTCCAGGAACCAAAACGCCACTGGGTTTTGTGGCCCTGGTGGGAGGGGACTTTGGTCCCTGGGGGAACAGGGTGGCTGCTGGGACACTGGGCCAGTTCACAGTCCTGTGGAAAGGGAGGACACATACACCCATTCATGCAGTGATTAACAAAATGAATATACTGTAACAACATCTGTCCCTGACCACAAAATACCACGAATATCAGAGATAGCTCCTCTGACATGGGACAGTCATTAACAACTTAAACTATATTCCTCCACCGCTACATTGGAGAGTAGTTGTGTGTTTCCCATCAACCCTTTTCCCCACCTTACCAAAACAACATTAACAGGGTCTCCCCCCCCGTCAGTTCAAACTATGGATTGTGGCAGTAAGCCACTCAGCATAAAGCCCTGATCCCTGTCATAACAGGTCATAGTGGAGTGGTATTCAGGGCTCCAATGCCCATGCTGGCGTGGTTGAAAACCCCACCCCTAATCCACCCCCTTGTCCATCACCTTCCGCCCTTTCCTCTCTTTCCCCCCATGCCCTCTGGTGCCCTCTGACCCCCAGTCTCTAGGAATGAGGGCCTTAATTGGGTCGTACAGGCCCTGAGGAGGCTCCAGATTCCACGCTCCACCTCCTAATGGAAGCAAATAGTCCTCAAGGCAGCGCTTAAAGTAGCTTCACGGACACTTCCTGTCACACAGACATTATACATGTAGACTTACAAAATATGACAGATTTTATGATGATCATGTTGTATACCGCAGCTTTCTGGATTTCACAAATGACTAAATAGGCCCAAGCAGTGTTCATAACTGTTCAGCCGTTATCTGATCTATGCATGGAAGTGCTCGAGCAAAGCATCCACCTCTGTCCTCCTTGTGCTCCGACCTCCATCCATTTATCTGTCCCTCTTTTGCTAAGGCCTGCTTGGTGGCCGGTGGTGGTGGGACTGGCGGCCTGGTGGCCCACTTCATGGCTGGCTGGTTAGAATCACAACGAGGTGGGGCGACTGCTTCAGGGTCACTGACTCTGCCGGCCCAGGCACCGGAATTAAGAGCCACTGCGACTAGAGGGGGGCCTCATCCTGAGCCTGCATGCTCAGCCCTCTGAAATGGGTTTACGCCCCACGCTGACCGAACAAACTCTCATTCAGCTCAAAATAGGTTTCTTTGGTGTTTCAGTGTCTCTGTGTGTATGTCGCACACAGATACACATTTGCACACACTTAGACAGCGTGAACAATTCCACATGTAAACCTGAGTGAGCAAAACTCTCCAACATCGCACTTTCTCAGTCTGTATTACCAGTGGATAGAGGAGATAAGAACCAAATATTTGAAGCTGTAGCATTACTCTTCAACTACGCTGCTGTTAATGTTAATAATTAGTCATTTGAATAACATCCAATAAATGTAACTTATTATATATTTCTGTGAATTATGATTTACTTATTTACTTAGGTCTTTAGTCAAGTGTCCAAGAACAGCTGTCACAACTAAAGGATGTTTTGAAGCTAAGGCATGGGCCAGATTCAAACTACGAGTAAATACTTATAAGACAAAGATGGCTTCTGCCAGACGCTGTGTCTTCAGATCAGAGTATTCTGAAGAATAAAACAGTTATCAACGTTTGGGCTTTCTTTTGGTGATTCTATCTGAGAGTTGTGTCTCTCTATGTGGGCAGAGTGAGGCTGGTATAACTTCCCCTTCTGTCTTTCGATCTAGACCAGACTAGATCAGACAACATAGCTTTATTGAGACCAGGTGGGAAAGAAACGTGTGTGTTTGTAGTGTGTTTTTAATGTCAGTGTGCATGAACGTGGATGCTTCCTTCTGTCCTCACAGTATGAATCAGTTTGAGACTCAACCATGGAACAAATGAGGAAGAGATAAAGAGATTGGGAGCAGCTGAGAGAAGAAGATAGGGTTAGTTAGAGATAGGGAGAAAAGAAGCAAGGAAGGAAGGAAGATAATGCCCTCCTTACCTGGGTGTCAGTGGGTCGGGTGGCAGCATTACATTCAGTGTCATCCATGACAGCCCCATAAGAGCCAACCACACACTTCACCGCTCGCATCTGGTAGCCTGGCCCACACGAGGTAGTGCACTGGGTTCAAAGAGGGAAAAAAAGGAGTGGTGGGGGAACATTAGCAACAGTGAGCTGAGGAGAAAATGCAGAAAGGGGCGAGGAAGGCAAGCAAAAAACAGATAATTCATCTGAGCCAACAAAGCAACTCCCACACACGAACAAATCAAAAAACTGTAAACCAGGCATAGCAAATAAAAAGCCTTCTTTTACCCCTCCACTCCCCCGACAAACATCCCAAGATCTCAGTTTCAAGCAGATAAAGATCAAGTGGCTCAAAGATCAAAAACAACCTTTGCTTATATACATTGCACTTGCCTTACTTTTTTTCAGCTATAGCCAAGTCAGAGGGTACCAGCCCACACTCTCTTCTGCCTCACTGCCACCAATGAAACAGGGTCAAACTTCTATGGCGGCAACTTCAACTACCGTTTGACCACGCTTCATTAAACAACTTCAAATATACTTTAACGTGCGCACATCCTCTGATGGGGGAGAGGGGGGCATGAAAATATCTCACATTTTTGGGTGTTCAGTTCTCTGTACACACACACAAATGAGACCGAGCCTGCTCACACAGACACTATATAATGTATGCATAACCCTATATAATGTTTTGCAGACAAACATGCCTACCCAGATCTTCCATAGATTTTGTATATTTATTTTGGCAGGATGTGCTCTGTATCTAAACAGACGAGAGAAAAGGGGACAGTGCTAAATGATGAGCTTAGTTTATCTGTGTTCTCCCCTTGGTTTACATCTGGAGAGAATTCATCAGAGAAGCAAAATTAGTTGTAGACATCAACCTCTGTGCTGCTTCTACATCTACATTTATTCATTTAACTGACGCTTTTGTCCAAAGCAACTTACAAATGCTATATGTCAGAGGTCACATCTCTGGAGTAACTACGGATGAAGTGTCTTGCTCAGCGACACAGTGGCGAATGTGTCACAGTGGGGGATTGAACCCAGGTCTCTCACACGAAAGGCATCTGTGCCATCACCTCCCAGTATTACATTAACTTAACTGTCATTGCAACAAGTGCTGAGACAACAATGTAGATTAGCAACCAACCACAGTGCATGTGCAGGGTAATGTACATATGTATAGAGGTAATATATAAATAATAATGAGGGGTAGATATTACCTATATATAAAGAAGAGTGGCTGCAGATCATGATACCCACAATAGTCTCTTAAATGCATTCGAAAAAACACCACTTCATGTTCTGATATGAAGAATTACATCAATCACAGCTGTACAATACAGTATTGTAAAGAGCACCCAATATGGCTTACGAAAGTGAACTTTCCAATCATAGACCAAACAGAGTTATCATCTTTCCCACTGCATTAGTACCCACCCTCTTTCCCCACAATTTTTGACAACAAAGTATGGCGCATAATATACACTATTGTTAACACTCACTTGTCCCCAGGGTCCAACCTGCCAAGAGGCACACTCCTGCTGCTGGCATGTCTGCACAGACTCAGGTTTTGCTGAGCCACAAAAGCGGTCATCTAAACGGTCCTCACCAAACTGACACCAAGTCTGACGGTGCTTATAGCCTTTCCCGCACGTCACGAGGCACTGAAAGGACAATATTTCAGGTTTTAGAGCTAGATACATATACAGCATATTACACGAGCACCGGTTGTTGTTCATATCAGAGGAAGATCACTTGGTGTTGTGGAGAGCGGGATATGAGGATTACAAAACAAATGGCAGTTGGAAGGGACCAAAAGACAGGGCAAGAGTGTTTATTTATGTGCGAGTACAGTGTGTATGTATACAGTGCAGTGTAGGTGTTTAGCAGAACCACATGGGAGATCTGAAATATTCCTGGAATGCAGCCCAAATCTTTGCAAGCTCCTCGCTCTGCAAAGTGTAAACTGTACAGCAGTTATTTACGATCTTACCCTGCAATCAGTGATTTCCCAACACTCACTATAGTGGAAGGAGAGGACTGGTCAACTCTCCCAAAGTTGAGTCATGCACAATCAACACTAGGATTTTGCATTTGACCGAGATCACTGCTGGCTTAAAATAACGGTATTTATACTGAGTCTGTTTCTCTTTACATTGACGACACCCAGCTAAGAGATTTTAAATTAAACATTCAGTGCATATGCCATCATCTCCTCATTTGCTTCCTTTATATGGACCACTATATGTGAGCAGTAAATATCAGACTGGTCAAAGAGAATACAATAATGGCAGAACTGACCTCAGACCAGTCACCGGTCTTCCATTGTGGACACAGGAAATCATTGCAGGGTTGGGCGGTCAGCTTGTCCCTTTGACTGCATTTGCTCTCATCACTGCCGGCCTCGGCTGCCTTTCGACACACTGCCCCTCGACGGCGGGTGCCCCCACCACAGCTCTTGGAGCACTGCAGGACAAATGTTTGAACATCAACAAGTGTAAACACATATACACAGCCCCTGATAAACCTTGACAAACATCTGGATTATGCTCACACACAAACACAACAATCTTACCTCTGACCAAGGCGAGTACTCCCAGCCACCGGGGTTACAGTCTCCATGGCAGCCTTCCTTATCATCAGGTTTGCGCTGACCACTACAGTAGCGATCATCAATCTTCTGGGTCTTGCCATCTGCACGGCTGATTTTGGCACAATATATTTCCAGGGTACGATATCCAAGGCCGCACTGGGCCGTGCACTCACTCTTACGAGCCACATGCCACCTGCATCAAAGGTGAAAGGGCAAATCCTTGTCAGTATTTTCCAAGTAATGACCAAGTAAAGAAAGAGTTGACTGGTTCATTTAGCTAGTAAAGGTTGGCTCAACTGATAATACAAACCTGAGTTCACATTCAGTGTTGCAGGGCTCAGTGATGACGGCCGGTCTAGCTGTACCGTGACACCTTTGGTCTGACACCACCACCCTGTCTGACTCTCTGCTACAGAGAATCTTCCGCTTGCGCTCTCCTAAAAAAATCAAAATTCTCTTAATAAATTCTAAAGCACCATATACCAAGCAAGAGTTTGGTACCCATGACAGTAAGTTTGTAATGTTACCTCCACGTTACAAGTACAGATATTTAAGAAAATGTGCTGTATACTTAGGTTTAAAAAAAGGTAACTTATTTATGTATATTATTCTTTGATGAGAAAGACACAGAGGAGTATGCAATAATTCATGACTTGAGTTGCAATCTCTTTTTCAAAACTTTATCCTCAAATGAAACTCCACTACCTTTCACTGCCTGACCTCAGCTTCTGTAAGACCCTGCAAGTACTTATCTGGGTCGAAGGAACAGCTTGCTCATGTACAAAATAGATCATCGTAGCGTTGTAATGAATACCAGCAGCAGTGTGTGTGTGCTTCACCTTCTCTTGTGTTGACATCCCAGCACTGAATCACAGTGCACCAACTGTACAGTAGGGGAGAGAGATTTAAGCCTCATGTGGCTCCGGGAAATAGATTCTCTATCAGTACCTCATGTTACCAAGTTTTGCAGCTTAGTGCTATGAGAGCTTAGTGTGCCCCATACTGCCAGAAAAGCGCTATAAATTGGAAAATCCAAAAGGTGCTGAGGGCATTGCATGTTTGCTGTTTATCCTGCTGTGTGAACTCATTGGTTTGTCTTTGGAATTTACTGTTGGTTGTTCAAGCAGGGCAGTGTCAAGAAGTGGAAAAAAGAAATTCTCAGACAAAGTGTTTGAGTCAAAACACATAACAGGTTTTCGAGTTTACCTGCAATCCGCCTCTGCACGCCCACATACTCTGAGTCATATCCAGAGTCATGCCAAAGAAGCTAATCTGCCACAGCATACTATGAGGTCGAACTTTAATCACTTGTTCCAAACCTATATGTCTGGCAGGAACTTGTCAAGTTTAGCCAGACAATCCTCTCTCTCCTATGCCTCTGCCTCAGTGGTTCCCACATCTCCTCTCTCCATTCCTTCCATGTTCCATCTTTACTGTCACCACACCATTTATCACTGACCACTCCCATCACCTCACTGCGCCGACCCCTTGTGCCTCCCCCTCACCTTGGCACAGGCGGCTGCACTCCTGCCAGGGCCCATAGGCATCCCAGAAGAATTGCTGCGGTTTGTCCTCTATGGGGATGTTAAAGGAGTACCTGACATCTGGGTTGTAAAGGTTGCCCACAGATAGCACCTGGTGAAAATGCAGGCAATGTGATATGCATTATAATACTGTTCATACTTATAATGGGTTTTTAACATAATGGATTGCCCACATACCCCAAAGTTTCTTTTCTTGTGGTGAAGTCTGTGGAAGCTTTTTAGCTTGTGCATGCAAAATATCTAGCTTTGCATCTCCTGCGAAGCAAACAAACGCATCACGATAAGGATTTTACCTGGACAATAATCTCCTCCTCGATGCGGTCAGTACAGTTGATTCTCTCAATGACGTGGTCAGAGCCACTGTACTCGATGACAGCGTTTCCTACTTTGATTTCCCTTTTGAACATGCTGACCACAAACTCTCCGTTAAGCAGGAACTCTCCACGGCTATTTGATATGGCTGCAGGGGGACAGAAAACAACATTACTGTTGTTAAGTCACTTACTGTGCTCAATCCCACTGAAACAGAGAGCCAGAATGAGCAGTATTCAATGTAAGAGCCAACTAACTACAAAACAACTGCAGAAAAAATTTAAAATTATGAAATTCTGTGTGAAAATGATTGGTCTAACTAGCTAAAGTAGGGTAAGAGTTAGGGTACTTTCTATATGTGACAGGGTAGCTTAGCAACACTATGGCTCATTTTCATTTACAGTAAGGCTGATGTAGTAGGCAGCAGTAAAGCCTTATTGGGGTAAAATAATCCTCTGTTCCTGGAGAAGTCCCATCAAGGGGTGTCCTGTTCTGTTCAACAGCCAGTCTGCTGCACTCATTCACTCTAATGCGATTATGGAGCTAATTTCCTGCCTTTACTTTCCTCGCCATTTCACACATTACACTAATATGACCGTGGAGAGCGGCCCTCATTCCGGCAAATTCGTCTCCACGTTGGGCCCCTAATGACTATGCCCATGCACTAATACATAGAAATACACACACACATACACGATCACGGGTGACAGCTGAAGTTTGTTTGTTCAGAAGTTTTCATGGCGGCATATCATCAAGCAAACACACACACACCGATATGCAGACACACACTTGTTGACCTTGATAGAATGGTAGCCAGAGGGCTATCTGAGCTCATATATTAGCACACTTGTGCCAACAAGACATGCACACTAATAGCTGACAAAGCAGCCATATCCAGACTGACAGGCAGGCATATGGTACAGAAAGACACACATTTACAGAACCAGAGAAAACACACACTTGCACACACACACAAATGCTTATAAACCAACTGACCTTGTTGGAATGATACCCACAGGCCTAATTCTGGCTCATTAATGTGTAAGCATGCACACTATATGCCAACTCCTAAAGTTTGCAGTACATGACATAACACTAAAAGCTGAACACTGTCATCCACATAAACATGCAGGCAGAGATGCTTTCAACAGCGCATTGCTCAAGATATGGTTGGAAACAGTATTTACAGTATTGGATATGAGGAAAAACAATGAAAGTATTACCAGTGCTTTCTTTTCAATGAAATGCCGGATGTCTTACCGAGGTAGTTGTCATCCTCCGGTTTCCCTGAGTAGCTGTGTTGTCGCACATCTATATTTGTAGCACCACTGGGTATTCGCACTACTTCATTGTAACCTGCAAATGGCATGAGTCGTGGGTTTAGATCATTAGTGTACTGAGTTTATGCCTACGTCAACAGGTGAACCCCACTCTTAGTGCTATTCAATCTGAAGACTGAGCACGTATGTAAAAATGTGTTGAAGAGAATAACAACAGCTGCTGTTATTCTTATTTGCTGAAAGTGAAATGACAGAGGCTGTAGCTCACCATAGCGGACGATGTTGAAGGTGCCTGCCACAGTTTTGCAGGAAGAGTTGTCACCTCCGCACACGCCACACTTGTCCCTCCTTGCTTTAGAGTTCAATACGTGGTCACAGCCCGCTTGCTGCTCAGTAAAGAGATAGAAGGGAGGGGATAAATTAAAAATAAAAAAGGAAATGCCAGGAGTCATATAAATGGTAGTAATAGGAAAGGGACAAAAGGAGGGAGAGTGGATAACAAGTTTGAAGAGCAAGGGAGAAGATCGGATGGAAGATAAAGGTGAGAAAGAAGAGAAAGATGTGCAGACAACATTATATGACTGTGAAGCCGACAGTGAAGTCTGATTTCTGATTTTTTTAAAGAAAACGTCTTTAGCTAACGTCTTTAATTCCAGTTACTTCGCAAATGTTCAACACTGATTATGAAAGAAAGATTCAGACTGAGTGACCCTTGAAATAGTTCAATCAGAACTTATTGAGTTATAGCCATGTCACTGACACCCATCTGAAGAAATTTCCTTCAAGAAACCACACTGGAAATTGCACAAGCTGCTCAGCTTGCAATTGGCTGTAGCGAGAGACATGCTTGATTTTCTATAAAGAATGAAGAGCTTAGCTTTAGTGCCACAGCATGGATCGAAATCCACTTGCCAAGGCCAGGAAGGCAAGTCACTGAACCACAATCTAACCAAAACACTGTGTGTGTGGTTTAGAGTGTACACAGAGAAACCCACTGCCTCTTTCAAGAAGTATATTGATGTTTATGGTATGTTAGTGATCAAGCTTTCAAACTAAAACTCTATCTGTCACGGGTTTGAGGCAACAAACACAGTTTGGTTTGGCAAAGGATTGAAGTGCTCTTTGAAAATATTTTCTAAAGAAATATTAAAGAAATAAAAATGAAAAGAAATAGAAATTATTATATCCACTCCACACACAGTGCAGGAATGGTCACCATTAGAACCCATAGTTATGATTTCACATAAGCATTTGAAACATGCAGCCGAGTGTCCTAAACGAATAAGAGTTAGGAACCTCACCCTGCACAGGCCCTGGACACAGATGTCGTTGGTATCGGGTCCGCATGGCGTGCCATCAATGACCCTGTCCCTGAGCTGATAGTAAGCTGTGCTGCCGGCCACCCTGCAGAACAGCTTACACCTGTCCTTCATCAGGACTGACAGAGGAGGCAAGACAAAGACAAACAATTAACACCAATTGGTGTCAATATCAAAGTTACATTATGTCTATTATGACTGGAGAAAAAAAGGATTCTCACTTCCGCTGTACTTGGGCACCCAGCGGACATTAGGAGGTAGACCGTTGATGTTGAAGTGCCTGCCATCGAAAGCCGCACATTGCTCCTCCCTGAAGTCCTTCTTCTGCTTGGAGCAGGGCTCAGAGTTACAGGAACGAAACTTCATTCGGCGTCCCACACAATACATTCCTCCATTTCTGGGCCTGGAAGCAAGATTGAGGAAGTGAACGGACCAATCACTGATCTGATTCAGAAAATATCTCAAGACATCTTTCCTCCACAGATGGCCACCATCACACACCGTGCTCTCAATCTGTTAATCTATTAAACCAGGATGAAAGGCAACATCAAAATTGATTTCTTTATTTACCAGGAAACAACCCAGTAAGATCAGCCATCAGAGGGTCTGTCTTAATGAACACTAGCTATGGAAAGAATTCCCTTCAGGAGGCTTGATCTATGCAACACTGACTTTGGCAGCTAGGATGGAGACATGGTCCACTAGGCATGCATGACTACAAAGAGAGAGAATGCTCACACGGGTCGGTTGCATTCGCGCACGGCAATCTTGATGCCCCCGCCGCATGTCCGTGAACAGGTACCAAAAGGACTCCAAACTCCCCATGCCCCTTCCACAGGTGTGGCGTCATGCTCTTTTGCTATACACAGGCCGTGTTTGCAGTGCTACAATGAGTGAGAAACAGAAAAGAGACATGTCAGATGAATGAAGAGAGCAAAGAATACGGGAGAGTAAGAGAATGGGGTGAGCGAGTGAAAAAAAAAATAAGAGGAAGAGAGAAAAAATCAAAAAGAGAGAGGAACAGACAGAGTGAGCACATGAAATCTTATCCATCGAACTGGCAACACATCTATCTGCTCTCTTGTGCTTTGATGCTAATCTGGGAGAAATTATACAGTGAAGCAAATGGAAAAAAGACAAACCGAAAAAGACATTTCATGGCCAGGTCTGGCAGGACAGAAGACAAGGAAACGTCACGCACATAGTCAATAAATATATCTCAGCCCATAACAGGAGGATAATCTTACACTGTTCAACAAACAGACTCCAGCTTAAGTATTTAGTCTGTTGCACTCTGGCATGGCATGGGATGAGAAGTTGGTGTAAACATGAAAAGGTTTCAAAATGTGTGTGTGTGTGTGTGTGTGTGTGTGTGTGTGTGTGGATCTTTGCGTCTTTGGACTTCATGTTGCTTTCATGTTCTCTCAGTCTTAGTGGCAGGAAGCGAGGGGTTAGTGAGAAAATCCTAATTAAAAGCTACACTAAGACAGAGAAACCTCCATCATTTACAACTTCACACCACCTACTTACATGCCAGCCATGTTCAATTACTAGAGCTTTTTTGGAAATGTGTTTTCTTTTGTCATTTTTACGCTCTGTATAAAGGAGAAGATTGAGGAGATGATGGCCTGTGAACAATTTTATGGTCATGAGTCAGTGAAAAAGTTACAGGTTCAAAAAAAGGAAATGTGGTGAGGATTGTCAGCTCAAAACACAGAACAATATGAGAATTAAACCATAATGTAACGGATAAAAACGCAGCAAACCCATGGTGTGTTCACATGTTTCCCCTTTACACGTTCATCCCAAACGAACAAAAGGTTAATTTTCTTACTTCTTGCTCCTGAAACTTTTTAACTGACAAAAAAAGTCTTCCTCCTTCACTTTTTCCTTTCTCTAAGCATCCGCCTTTGTTTCCACATGACACTTACCTTTCCAGGGGAGCAGTCAGTGCCGTCTGCCCACGGCATGTGCTGGGTCCTGCAGCCTCGCTGGGCACCCTCTGGACTGGTGCACCACAACCGCCGACACTGAGTCTGAGAAACACACACACGCACACACACACACACACACACACACACACGAAAAAAATAAAAAGTTGAGACCATTAGCATATACGGCACATAAATGTCACATTAAATAACATCACTATAGACAACTATTTTAAATATGGACACCAATAGGCAGACATCCAATTTATTGCACATAATTATGCCAGAAGGTGACATCATACAGTAAGCCCTAATGCGCTTTCTGTCTGTGGTGAAAACATTTGACAAGAAAACTATTAAACAGTGCTTAAGTGTGTCACACATATTTTGGAGAAATTACTTTAGTAATGATTGTAAAACAGATTATTAGACAGCAGCTGGATGGTTTAATGTCCTGATTCCACCTTTCCTCACATTCATGTTTTACGGAGTTTTCAACAGAATTTACAGGTGCTGAGATTCAACTGGTTTTAGTTTGCTTGTATATCAGAGAAAACTATCAGTATACGTTAAAGGCTTAAAATTTCAGCTGGGAATCTTTGCTGCACATGATCATAACACAAGAGGCTTCCGTCAGAGACCTACATGTGCACCATAACAATTTAGATTTGCACACCGACTCCACTTACCATATAAGGGCACACCTGAGTTCCCGGCCCAAATATCAATTCACACTGTTTATTGACGTTGTATATCCGTCCAGGCAGCTGCTGCGACAGACTGTAAGGCCTAGAAACGGGCTCATCGAGCAAGCACTCACCATATCCTGTGCTATTAAGAAATAAAAATAAAACGACTTAAAGGAAAAAAGGGGAAAACAAGAGACACAAACAGACAGAAAACACACTCAGTACACCCGGAGAGGTCATTTTTACCTGTACATACACAAAACAGCTTTCTCAGTGTCTTGACAGATTTCTGTTTATATTCAGTCAGCTATACGTAGTAAGTGTTGGTGATATCAGGAGGTGGGGGATGCAGGGAGAACTTTGGATAGTTATGGGTATGGAATACCAGATACTATCCCATTACTCTTTACTAGAGTAGGAGTTCCCTGGTCTTTCTCAGTGGGGTGAGGAGCCTTTGGAAGAGAGGAGACCAGAGGCTGCAACAGACCTAATAAACGATGACAGTTTATTTGCGTTTAAGCCTAAAAATGTGTCTGTTGCTGCCAAAAGTGGGGGAAACTGCATATAGTATGAATACACAGCACTCTGTGTGTGTTTATGTGTTTAAGAAACATACTTTTTTTACTGGACTTTACTACTTTGCATATCCTATTTCATTTCAGGCTGTTTGAGTTGTTCAGAGGTTTTCTTCCTTAACAGCAGAAAAACATAATCTACATGATCTAATCCCCATGCATGTTTGGAACAAAAAAAGAGAATGACATACTCGAGGAACTCAGTGATGTACTTCCTGCTACACTTGGACCACATCCAAGGGTTTGTGTTGTAGTTAAGTGTGGGAGCCATCACATGTTGCTGAATCTTGACTCCGTCCTCCTTGCACTTGTTACTGTCGTCATGAGGCATGTTGAACCTGGCAGAGTAAAGTAAAGTAAAGTCCAGGTATTATAAAAAATATTATAGTAACAAGGGAAGTACAGCGAACCGAAAGATTTCTTTCTTTCCCTTATCTAGTAATAGATCTGTTACCTGTAGTTTATGTCACACAGAACTGTAAGACCACTGTTGGCTGAGATAAATGTGACAACAGCCAGTATTATGGTGATGAATGCTTCTAAATTGCTTCTGGCTGGGACTTTTATAAAAGTGCTTCTCAAAGCAACAAAGACAAGACTCCAATTAAAAAATTGTTTTTCTTTGCGCTTCAGTGAGTTTCATTTGTTCCGCCACATGTTATAAATCTAAACATTGATTCTGTATTTCCGCTGTCATTGTGTTATTGTTTTTTGGGAAACCCATTCACAGGTTGCAGTTGAAAATAATGCATTTGTATTTCTTATCTGTGGGGAGAAACCAGCACAACATTGAATGCATTAAATGACATGAATACTGGGCAACGGACATAGCAGAAAAAATGTAGATGTGAAAATCAGAGCAGTGAGAAACATTCCAGCTCCTGCATTGCGAACAATAAGATCCTGGTTGGTGGTAGACAGGTACAGCACCACACTGCTCGCAGCCGGCCCTCTGAGCTACTCAGCTCCCCACCTGACAGGTACCATATAACACTGAGCTCTGGGGCTAAGCTGCCGTCAAGTATGTTGTCACCACTTGAGGCGGATAAACGTGGAATTAAACAATCCCACCTTTTGTTTGGTGGTGAGAAGGAGCATTTGTTGGAGATGGTCTGTAACAGTCTCCACTGTAGAAAGCTAACCCCCTCCCTTCCCCTCCCCAAGCTCTGTCTGACTCAGGACTTTGGACAATGCAGAGTCTGCTGAAGGCTAGTGGTCAATAACCAATGTTTTTCCCTTAAATTCTGAGAATCCAATTTGCAGACTCGCACACTCTTTTATCTTCCCTCTCAAGATGAAAGTTGGGTAAAAATTAAAAGATGTGATCAGAAACACACAAAAAGAATCAGAAAATACTTGGAAACCAAAAGGAATGTACGGCTGTTGTGTCCAAATATGCAAGATTCCTTGATCTCCATCTGCTGGTCAGGCATGTGGGTATTCCTAGAAAGACTTTTGAAGCTCTACCAATGCCTCACTGCAGCCAAAATGTTCACAAACTACGAGTGATGACAGTACTTGAGGTAAATAGTCAGTGATGTGCTTACACATGACCAAGTTCATGGGCGATGGTGAATGCAGTGCTAAGTCCGTTGTCCTCGCTGATGCTGCAGCTCCTGTACGGATCACACACCGTCCCCAACTCTGCAAGTCCTTGAAAACAAGAAAAGAAGAGGCTCACTTTAGTTTTAACAACCTTCAGTAACAACCTTTATAATTTGCCATCATGATCATACCATCATGAACATGTGAAGTACAGTATGTAGTTTATAGTAGTAAATCCACTTACCTAAGGTATCACACTTGTCCCTTGCTCTGCAGATGTCCTGCCTGTGGTGCACACACACATAATAGGTCATGGTCAAGGGCACAGAAGAACATTCCCCCCAACCTTCAGGGGATCCTCCTTATTTAGGTTGATTTATAAACTGCAATTCCATTCATCATGAATCTGGACCCCATTTGATGCAACTGATTCTCCATATACTTATTACAATGTTATTTGGTTGTTCGAAAGCACTAAAAACCTGTTCAAAGCATATACTGTATGCAGCAAGGAACTTGATCATTTGGTCATTGTCTTGCACCTGGTGATTAGGATGGCAGTGTCGTGATGGGAATGGTGGTTATCATCCAGGATGTTCTGGCTCTGCTGCCAAATGCAGAAGTTCTTTAAAGTGGTCTGTGCATTAAATGAAATGACTGGACCATCCTGAGAATTGAGAAATAACCAAAGGTATCATTTCATTGATAAGTATGTACACCACATACTTGCTGAAAGTCTGAAAGTATGGAGATTGAAGCGGTCTTACCAGCTCGTTGTTTATTATGACTAACTTTACAATCACAATGTTAATCAGGTTGCCAATGCTGGGGTCTTTGTAGATGGAAGACACCTGAATGAGGGAAACAAAACATAAACTCAAAACACATTTTGAAGACTAGTTTTAATATTAGGATCAGTAGGTTACAATATTTTATTTAACGTAACCCAGCTGAAATTTGACACAGTATATTTACTGGTAACTCTATCGTGGACTGCCTTCCTGCAGTTTCAGGCAAGTACAGGGGAATTTAGTTGATTGGAAGATCAAGTTGATAATAGCCTGAGCCCCTGTGGAGAAGGCAGCCCTTGCCAAAAACAGAATATAGGTCATCTTAGCCTCCCCCCTGAGGTCTGTCGGCCCCAGGCGCCTGCAGAAGTTTGTATTTGAAGTGCCCGAGAGTATGCGGCCTATGTGACATACCTGAGCTTATTTTTAACATTCATCAAAGCTGTCAGGCAGGCTCTACCTCAAGCTGCCCTCTCTTCCCCCTGGCCGTTTGAAAGTGGTGTTTACCCCTGCCCTATGCTGCCCTTTTCCCTCCCACGGCCCTCCTCTGAAGGCTGGCTGACTGACTTGCAGCACGAACAGCACAGCAGAACAGGTACATACATTTGGTGCACATGTGTAGCTGCTTTCTGTCCATATATATGCTATAAGTATACAGACGCATAAACACACTTGCTTTTCTCAGCCAAACACCTCCACTGACCAAACATTCTCTGCTAGAAGCAATGAAGCCATGTGACAGAGCAGAACTTACTATGGACATCAATGTGAGTATGTAGTGCTGTAGGTTGCTGCCATGATGCTCCACCATTTTGCTGTCGGCCACCAGCATGACTTCAACAAAGCGCGGGTAGGAGAGGAAGCGCTTTGATCTCCTGTGAGGTCCTGAGTCACCACTGCTATCATTTGATGGTCTAGCGCTAGCACTGCCGCTCTCTGATCTGAGCAAAGCATCTCTGGCCAGGCCGGCACTCAGTGACGCCACATCATTGAATATACCAGCACCTACCACAGGGGCTGCATCGGGCACAGTGGTCACCCCAGCTACTGGCCTTCTCTTAAGCTTGTGTCTCTTATGTCTGTGTTTGTGTCCTATAGAGAGAAGTCAGAAGGAATGGAGCATGTGTAAATATACAAAGATGGAGGGATGACGGGAAACACATTCGGTGTGAGAAACAGACAACATATGAATCAAAGTTTGTTGTGACAATTTGTACAATATAGCTGAACTTGTGGTCTTTAAAGGTGGAGATACATGAGGTGAGTTGGCTGCCTGGAAGTGGGTTTTGTTCAACTATGTTGCTGCTTATTGTTGCTCAAAGAGTGGGTTGACAAATGAACACTGCCTGGAAGGCCTTTTATTTCTCTTTCCCTCCTTTTTCAGGAGAGGGGAGAGAGAAGGGCAAAGAGTTCAGGCTAGGTAAACCTGGCACCCAGCCATAAGGAAAACTGGAGCAAAAACTGCCGGCAGACACACCAAAAGAAGGCAGTTCAAAAACTGGGCATCAAAACGTCTCAACACTGAGAGGAATTAGGTCTGATTTTAATCATGACATGGCAACAAAACTGCTGAGTGCCAGTCTTTTTTTTGTTTTCTCATCACATGCAGATCACCCTTTCTGGACCACCAGCAATGCGTCACCACCTAAACACACACTAACAGTGAGCTGGACAATACCACATTAGTGGATCTACTTTCAGTATACATTATTTATGTCTCTGATCAAAAAACTTCAAGACTTACAAGGTAACAATGGAACTTTGTTGTAAGGATGAATCAGTCTTGGCCAAAATGGCTTTTAGTCAAATGTATGTTCCTTCAGGCTATGATATCACTCTCTTTCTCTCTCTCTCTCTCTCTCTCACACACACACACACAAATATTTTGGTACAGAGTGAAACCAAATATCTGCACAAAGAAAAAATATTTCCAGATTTATTTTCTTAGTTGTGATTATTTGACAGTTTCAAGTTGGCATGACTTTGCTATTATACAATTTACACTGCATGTGCATGGCAGTGGGTCTACCCAACTTTCTTATCAAAGAGGCAGAGGAAGTGCAAGAGTCAACAGGAAGTTCAGCCAGTAAACTGAGATGGGATGATACAAGGGTGAACTTCCAAATGAGTTTTCCTGTGTGAGAGTTGGAAAGCTTCCACACTACTGTAATGTAGCTGCAGGCGCTGCACTGTGCAGGCTGTGACATGATATGTGACCCGAGATAGTTTCACACCATATATCACTTTAATCCCGTCTTCTATTTGGAGCCGACTAATCAAAATAGTGCCATTCTATTACCATATTACAATTATAAACAAAACAACTGAATGGTTAACAATTTAATATTATTTAATCAATTATAATATTTCCTTTTAAGACTTCATTATTTTTATTTTCCATTTTTCTGTAATTTTACAGTAATAAAATCTGGCATCCTTTCAAAACCTTCATCCGTATCCAGACACACTCAAAGGTTTTTCTTGTTTTAACTAGATAAGCTACATATGATTCTACAGTACCATGCAATGATTAGTGTAATAGATTAGTTGCTATTACATAATCAGTTCCTGTGATAGTGGAGACTTTGGGGATAGTGCAATGATTACTGCTTACATGTGTGGGAACCAAATTAAAGGTAACATAATGCATGCACATACAAAGAGTAATTTCTCTACTCGCAAGCCACGTGTATGCCATGAAAACACTTGCAAGAACTTACATGCACAGGAACCAACCACATACACATATATCCCCTGGGAAGTCCCTCCATAGATGCAACAGTGTGCAGTTTAGTTAGAAAGAGAACACTTAGTGACAGTTCAACTGGAGCAGATATTTAAAGAAGATGATTGGCTAGAGCACCTCAGTGTCGCACAGTATTTGCATGCATGTATACCATCATGCAGTACACCATACCTGAAGTGTCACATGCTGAGTTCTCCTCAGATGTCTGTTGTTTCTTGGGTGGGCTCTTCTTGTATACAATATGAGGTTTTGTGTGTTCCTCTTCATAGTATTCTCCTTGATAGCTGTGTAGGGGTTCCACAAAATACTCCCCTTCTGGAGACCTGAAAGTGCCAAGCTGGATAGCAGAAAAAATGCATAGTAGTTAGTCTCCATCCATTCATCCATTTTCTGTAAATGAATATTCCTTTACAGTAACAACATAACATGGGGAGGACTTGCAAAATCTACACAGACAGGACCAAGGGGAATATATAGTTTAAAAAACATTGTAAATCAGTGAGCCGCCATACCACTCTAATGAAAACATTTATAGCAAGCTACAGTGGAATGTGGCTAATTTACTATTCATTAGAGAAAATAAGCAATGCCAACACCCGAGGGCTTTGATAAAATTATGAAATAAGTGAATTTGCATGCATGTAAGAATGGTACCAAAACAGCAGAAAAAAGGATAATAGTGCCTGTGATGCTTATCAGGAAAACAGTGAGACTGTATGTTCTTGGCAAGCATGCTGAAAGCCTTGTTATATGTATTTCACATGGCACGTTTAATGTGACTGGCTAACTTGGAGGTCTGTGACTTTCCAGATAAGGTACATGCCAACCCAAGCACATTTCACTTGTTGCTCATTGTTTGTGGAGAATCATCATGGTCAGCCGTGGGGGCTGACAAAAGTTGAGCACAATTATTTTTGGCACAAATCATATTTACAATCCCTGGTAATAAAGTATGACAAAAAATGATCATTAGAAAAACATTAAATTCTCCTGCATGTGCAAACATTTGCAGCAGGGTGGGCTGTTCTTCAGCAAGGGGGCACAGGGAGATGCTTCCTGCTTACATTTCCTTGAAGAGGACACTATTCCCATTATTGGGCTTGGAGCTGCACTTTGATTGACCTGGAGAGTTGGCAACGCAAAAGAGAATCTCCCTGTATTATTTTAGGATGTGCAGAAATAAAATGCAATTGCGGCCCTCAGCAGCATTGTGCTGTATTTTAGAATAAATGTGCCCTCGGAGAACTTGAATAAATAAGACGATATGCTCCATAAACGTCAGCTCAACTCCCTAAAGCTTTCTGCAGAGCAGAGCGTTCAGAGCGCTTTTTGTTTGATGTCATTGTCATTCGGTCAGAAATTTACCCCTTACTCACATCTGTCACGTCGCTGTGGCTTTCTATGGATAAACTCGGAGTGCACTTTTGCTCACTACAAAACGCATGCTTCAGCAAGCCTGGGAGTGGGACCAATTTGTCGTGACGTCAGTACCACCCGTACTCCCGCTGTACGAGCGTGCGTAAAGACGTCACCGACAACAGGGAGAGCAGGGAGAGAGGCATGGAAGTAAGATTTAGAGTAGACCGTTCATTAAACTTGACTTTAGCCAGTGTACTGGGGAGACTCGCAAGTCAGAAAAGCTGTTAGCTATTTTGAATTATTTAATCAGTGGAAGCACACTACAACAGGATCCTTGCACAAAAAAAGCGTTAACAAATCATGCAGTCTCAAAATTATTTTTCTGAAAATTGTTTTCAAAATCAATTTCAGCCTCACTTACTTGTGAACAAAATATTTACACAATGTTTTATTCTTTACTGAGATAAGCGTATTATTGTATTCTTTCCCAAATACAAACGTGTTTAAAAGCGCAATATGTATGGCTGGTTACGAGAGTTGCACGGATGGGCTATAAAACGCAGGTGGCGCGCACTTTGTGCAAATGTTCAAGATATAAAAATGTTGCTAAGGTAATGGTGAAGCAGATTTTCAAGTCCTGTGTAAGCAACACTTTCCCCTAAATATCCATGGAGGAAAAGTAAAACACCCGGTGGTAAAGTCATCACATGCACGGCGAGACTAAACGTGCGTAAAAACTCACCAGTCCGGAGCACAAACTGATGACCGCGGCATGTTCTGCTTGTGCATTTACATGTCCCTTATAGAAGCAGTGCCTTAACTCCGTGTCCTCCTCCTCCTCTACCTCTGCATCTGTTGCAAAATCCGTTATGTTATCTCCTCGGGGTACTCCAAGTACTGTCACGCTGTAGAGAGGTGCGATAAATCCCGAATCCAGCGTGAGGTTGAGGTGATAATTCTGTCCGAAAGCAGATATCCTGTAGTGGATATTTGGCGAGGCCCAGTGATCCGTACTATTGCCGGTGCTCTCGTCCAAACTTCGTCTTTTCCTCTTGAAGTGCACACTGGTTGGAAACTTGTCACCGGCTTCATTCACTCGCAGCGGTGTTACAATCTCATAAGCGCCGATCTCCTCTTTTACTGTGGAATAAAGGCAGAGGAATGACAATGCAATTAAGGATTCAGTAGCAGCCCAATAGCATCGGTACAAATCAAAGAGCCCAGATGTGTTAATCGATAGATTATGATTTACAAAGTAATGTCTTCTTTCTTGAAAAAAATGTTGTTTTACGGCACTGCAAGGAAATGAATGATAGCCAGCCAGTGGAGTTTAGGTACTAGAAAGCGCTGCAAGTCATGTGCTTGGCTGAATTCAAAACTCATTCATTCTCTGCCCCCGTGTTAGAAAATAACTCAATGAGGGGGGAATGCGGGGTTGTCAGAGCGGCATACTTTACCTGTGCTTGAATTCAAAAGTAATCTCCCCGTAGATGCAACAACATTTAAGAAATCAGGGAATAGTAGGAACCCCAAGCCCCAGAAGAGCACATGCATGATTGTCCACGTTCAGAGGAAAGCGGCAGCCTGTATTCCTGTAGTAATACTGTATTCCTCCAGTCACTCCGGGCTTTCCGCCTCCGGTCCGCCTGCCACATCCAATTTTATTATCCTCGACTCTTGAGTAGATGATCTCTCGCCGGTGAAGTACACTGCTGGGACGTGAGCGCTTCGCGGATTCCCTGGCAAACATGCATACTGCAGAGAGGGGTGGGCTGCTCAAACAGTCAACTGCGATGGGCTCCGCTGCAAGCCTGTACACCAGCTTTCTCCCCAGCTAGGGGCGGGATCAGCCAGGCAAGGTACACTTGTGCTACAGTGAAGCCACTCCCGTTATATACTGTAGTGACAACAGTGGTCCACTTTGGATGATGTGATATCATCATTGACTGGGTTGTTCACAAGTCTATTTGGGTTATTTTATAATTCTAAGTTAAGACCAGCCTATACAGGGTCCATACTGATGGCCCCCAGTAACCATAAAGTGCCCGATTAACTAATTTAATTTGTATGCAGTTCAATTGTATGCAAGTTCTTATATAAACTGACATAGGTACATACTTTCAATAACCTCAGGTTATAGAGGGGCGGGCTTTTAGCACAGTGTGCAGAGCAGATCAGTGACCATGGCAGTTAGATCGGCCCATATAGAAAATGCCTTCCCTGGGGCCACAAGCGAGATAATCCTGGCATGGCTGTATACTTAGAAGTTCAAGGGATCACAGAGTGACAAAATGCAAACTGGCAAACAGCGTAGCCATATACATTAGTGATCTGAGGTCTTAAGTAGGTGCAGGAAAAGGTATTGTGTAGGGATAATGGTAATGGTTTTATGAGCTATATTCTCCTCAGCAGAACAATGCTGCAGGCTGTATGGAAGCCTTTGTTATGTGGAGGATCAAAGTGTGGGCTATGCAGTCTGTCTCTTGTCTCATTCATGTAAAAATGCCCATAGCTACAGACAGAACACATAAGTTGTTCTGCTAACTTTTAAAATATATTTTAAATCGGCATGTGCACTAGAGCCAGGCTGATAAATTGTCTATTAACATGGCAGCTACTGTATATCAGTATCATTGTCTATGTTGGCCGATAAGTAAAAGGAGAGAAATGCCAGAAATATGTTTGTGGTAGTTTAGAAACACACAATCACATAGTTTGTCCTTCAGAGACCTCTTAGAAGTCAGTCTGCAAAATGTCCCCTCGCTAGATATGGTGCTAACAGTTATTTAAAAAATAATGTAATATGTATATAAAATATCAGATTTTTGAAATTTCTAACTACTAATATCCACCATACATACACCAAGGCACAATGGAAATATGACTTGCCTAATGGAGTTATGTCCTAAAATATTAGGCCTTTTTTATAGCAGACAATTAGACCTTAAGACATAATCACTGTGACACCCACCGAAAACAACAGTCAATTCCAGGTGGACATCTGGCATTTGAATCGCAGAGATATGTAAATGCTAATTTGCTGATTTTGGACTAGACACCTTCTTACATGACATTTCATACTTCTTGACCACTTAGTTAAAAAATGACAACATTAGCCCAATTCTGTCATAGCACTGAGATGTTGGGAGAGCTTTCCACTCTTTTAAATTGTTAGGAGTTTATTTCCTCACTCGTGTTAAAACATGCAATAAAGGTTAAACTGGACAATTTTAGGACTGACCAAGCAGGAAGCTTCCAGTCAGCAATCTGTGGGCAATGCGGAAATCCCTTAAACCTGCATTCTATCACACGGCCAGCAGGGGGCAACTCTTCTGGTTGCAAAAAATGTACGGTTCCATTAGAAATAATGGTTAAATAACCCTACTTCTCAGCTGATTTATTACCTCAGTAAACACTTTGACTTGAGTTTATGGTCTCAGTCGCTAGTTTCAAGTATTCTTCAACACAGCATCATGTTCATTTAGTAAATTATGGTCCCATTTAGAGGAAAATAGACCAGGAAGCAGAGTATGCTTCAGGGCGGGATTATCTATGATTGACATGGCGTTACCATGGCGACCTGTCAATCAGGCTAAAGTGACTCGTACCCACAGCACTATGTAAATTTAACCAGGGCTGTTGAAAAAGCGTATTGGAGTTGGCCGTTTTCTTTCTCTGGTGAGTTCATTTAGTTTTAAGTTTTTCGCTAGACAAAATTATCAGCCCTGTTAAAATGACAGTTAACTTGAATTACAGATGCACCTAGCTAAGCAAGCTAGCTAGCTACACACACAGCCGTTAGCTCCACCATCTTATCCAAATATGGTCACGTCCGGTCCCGCTGGTTGCAAAATATCAACATGGTGGCGCCCTATCGGCCAAACTCAAGGCTTCAAAACGGCAGTCGACAAACCAACGGGTGACATCATGATGACTACGTCCACTTCTTATATCCTGTCTATGGGACTGACATAGCTACTTAGCCACTAGCAACATGGTATACAGACACAGTGGAGACAAACGGTTAGAAAGTCGCAAGTAACTGCAGCATTGCCTAGCAACTTTAAAGTTAAAGACAACTTAGATCTCATAACATTATGTATCAGAGATTACAAACATTTCAGTCACTCAATTGTTACCGAAAGAAGGAAATAATAACTCACCAGAATGTAGGCAGTTAGAGTCTTAGTTTCTTATAAGGAGAAAAAAACATTGTAAAAACTTGTGTACAGAAATGACTAATGACTTACTCTGACAGGAAAGAGGTGAGCGAGTCCATGGATGGGTGAGTTCCATTGACGTACCAACTGATTTTCACTCACTGACTGAAATGCTGTTCAGCAGTATTGTGGTCAGTGCTGTCACTACTGCCCTGAAGCTACATTGCAACAGTCTATGCTCCTACATCAGCACTACATATCTGTATACTGCAACTCATTTTGTAGCTTTGGTTTTAGACAAACACTTCAATAATTGAAGTGTCCTGCTCAGTGTGTCAGATGTTCAGTTACTCCTCTGCCTCTTTTAGTGGTAATGGTATGTGTAACAAGTGTAGTTATTTTGTAACGTAGACATGGAGGCGAGGCTCAGTGATTTAGAAGTCTGGCTCCCCACCATGATAGATCAGTCTTTAGCTACTGTAGCTAGCCAGCCCCCGGTAGTCGGTGCGGACCGACCCGAGTTAGCCTCTGGTAGCCATTTTGAGAAACGTACAATCTCAGTTTGTACATGTTAACAATGAATCCTCCATGCACGCAAGTTAGTCATAGAGTCCCACAAGAATCTGTGCTGGGACAAATCCTGTTCACTTTATATATGCTTCCTTTAGGCAATATTATCAGGAAACACTCTATAAACCTTCATTTTTATGCAGATGATACTCAGTTATATTTATTGATCAAGCCAGATGAAACTAATCAGATATAGTTACTCTGGGTGGCATCACCCTGGCCTCCAGCACCACTGTGAGGAATCTCAGAGTTATCTTTTATCAGGACATCCTTTAACTCTCACATTAAACAAATTTCAAGGACCGCCTACGTAACGTTGCAAAAATCAGGAACATCCTGTATAAAAATGATGCAGAACAATTAGTCCATGTATTTGTTACTTCTAGGCTGGATTACTGCAATTCTTTATTATCAGGCTGCTCGAAAAAGTCCATTAAGACTCTTCAGCTAATTCAGAATGCTGCAGCACGTGTTCTGACAGGAACAGGAAAAAAGATTATATTTCTCCTGTCTTAGCTTCTCTGCATTGGCTTCATATAAAATCCAGAATAGAATTTAAAATCCTTCTGCTCACCTACAAAGCTCTTAATGGTCAGGCACCATCTTATCATAAGGAGCTCATAGTACCTTACTACCCCACCAGAGCACTGCGCTCCCAGAATGCAGGGTTACGTGTGGTTCCTAGAGTCTCCAAAAGTAAAATGGGAGCCAAAGCGTTCAGCCATCAAGCTCCTCTCCTGTGGAACCAGGTTTCACTTTGGGTTTGGGAGGCAGACACCATCTCCACATTTAAGAGTAGACTTTCCTCTTTGATAAAGCTTATAGTTATGGCTGGCTCAGGTGAGTCCTGAACCATCCCTTAATTATGCTGCCATAGGCCTAGACTTCTGGTTGACTTCCAATGATGCACTGAACTCCACGCTCCTCCTCTTTCTCTCCTCCTATCTCTTTCTACAGTGTTTCTAGCTCTGGAGCTGTAGAGTCTGAATCTGTGGTTGTGAGTTACCTGCTGCCCCTGTGTTCCTGTTCGACACCCTCTGCTACAATTATTATTACCTATTGTTGTTATTATTATTTTTATTATTATCATTAACATTACTATAGCTATCTGTACCATTATACATTCAGTCTGTATCAACATTACCTTTACTGTCTGTACCTCTGTGTGTATATTGTTTAGGTTGCTCTCCCCTACCCCCAACCCCATCCCTCTCTCCCTCTTTATGTCTCTCTCTCTCACTCCCTCACCCCCAACCGGTCAAGGCAGATGGCCGCCCACCCTGAGCAATGGTTCTGCTCAATGTTTCTGCCTCTTTAAAGGAAGTTTTTCCTTGCCTCTGTCGTCTAGTGCTTGCTCTTGGTGGGAATTGTTGGGTTTCTGTAAATAATATCCCATAGTACGGTCTACACCTGCTCATTTATTAAAGCGCTGTGATATAACTGTTGTTATTTGGTGCTTTATAAATAAATTTGAATTGAATTGAATTAATTGTTCTACTCAAACACAACTGAAACATATACTGGATGAGTGGACAATGCATTTTGGCTGGTTGAATGAGATGAACTTACACAGACATATTTGAAGTGTTATACTAACATAGTACAAGGCAGCAGGTTGCTAAATGTTTATCATCAACCACACTGCAATAAGAGGGTTCAAATCTGTTTTCCCATACATGTCTGAGCAGTGTAAACTCAGATAGACTGCTGGTAGTGATAAAATGTGAATGAATTAATGTACTGTTAACACATTAAGAGCACGCCATGGTAAACACACATGATGAGTCTTATCTTGGAGATAAGACTGGACCTGTTCCCAAACTCACTGTCAAGTAACAAGAAAACATTGCTTACTGAGGGTAGTCTTGTTCTTATCATAATGATAGCAGTAGCACATAACCAAAACATACTGTATTTCACAATCAGAACATTGGTGACTGAAAGTAACCAAGTTTGACACATAATACATCAACCATAATACATTATCTAAGGATAAGTGTTCTGATCTTATACATCATAGGATTTAGACTTAAGATTTGTTATTAAGGTTATTGTTTTTCCAGAAACA